TTTTTTTTTCATTATACTTCGTTCAGTTACGTATTGCTAGTGGCATAGCCTTTGCCCATGAAGAGGTGAGAATCATAATCGCGAAGGATGCATAGTCGAGGACGTTGCCATAGTCGGAAAATGGCGCCTTGAATACCATTTGATAACGTGTCCCTTGTGGTAAAGGGTAGATCTAAGCTGAAGGTGTACAAGGCGAGCATCAGGAGAAGAGGTATCGAAGGTAAAATACATTGGTTGTCAGGGAAGCTGATACCCATGAACTTGATTTTGCTATAGTCTTTTTTGTCGGCGATAAAGAGTTCGACAATGCGACGTGCGTGATCAGGTGGAGGCGTACTCACAGTTGTTAGGAAACTTGCTGTTGATATGACGAAGTATTTCAGCACGGTGTTCAGGTCGAGAGGTGAAATCAAAAAAACAAGCTGGGACAAGAAGCTGGTGAGCCGCCTACTTTCCACGTTGGTGTGTGGCCGATTTACGACCTGTAGGTGTCTTCAAAGATCTGCAGATGAGCGAAGGACGACGTGTAGCTTTGGCATACGAGAGACGTTGTGGACGATTTTGTGTGCCTGTTTCCTTATCAGGCAATTTGGTTAAATTCTGGGAAGACATTGTTTGTTCATTGCCAAGTAGCTAGACCCTGGAGAGCCAAAGATGCAGAAGGACTTCTTTGGGTAACTCAGCTAAAAAGTCAGGACTTCAGGGACAATCCATGACAGGTACGCAACCCTCATTTTCAGGTCACTTGTTGGCAGCTGTACGCTACTTTTGTGCATTCCCAACTTTTGTGCATTCTATTATAGGTGGACGATTCTCCTGCTCCAGACATTCATTTCCATGATTAAAGTAGGTTGATCCGAGCTGATTTGGTTGAGTTACGCTCACACAAGATTACATCGGTTGAGCTACATCGAGCGTGCTTGATGTCCAGAGTGATGTAATCTCTCTTGACCGCAGCTCAGTCAAATCAGCTCGGATCAACCTACTTTAATCATGGAAATGAATGTCTAGAGCAGGGGCATCGTTCCCATGCAGTGGATCTCGCAACAATGATGATTGGATAAAAGTGGCCGATAGCTAGCAATACATGTCTGTTCCTAGATGATCCATAAAGTAATTATACGTTGACCCTTTCATTCATGCAAACGTAGCTGTGTTACACAACACGAGCCTCTCCATCTTTTGCTCTGCCAGGGTCTAGCTACTTTACATTAAACAAAGACCACTTCTCGCATAGCATCACGCTTTCGGCATAAAGAGATGCCTGTATCTCCAAACTTTACAATGAAACGTGGGGTTTTGAATAGAGCAATGTGCTCGGCTTGGCCAACAGCACCTTGTGTGAAAGTTTTACGTTCAATGTCGCAACTAGCCCAAAAAATATTTTTTGGTCGTCGTCGAAAGATGACCCCTGAATCGGTTGGCATGGTAACGACATGCGAAATCAGGACAGCAAACGTCACGATAAACTGGCACCAAGATGCCGATTGCCAAGCAGCCGCATTGTTCTATCAAAGACCCCACGTTTCATTGTAAAGTTTGGAGATACAGGCACCTTTATGTTTGTAAGCGTGATGCTATGAGAAGTGGTCTTTGTTTAATGTAAAGTAGTATGACTATAATAGAGCAAAAGATGCAGAGGGCGTGTTCGTGTAACTTGAGTCATTCAGCACAGGCGATGCATGATTCTTGTACACTATTTAGGAAGAGTTCAAAATGCCAGCTAATAACCTAGTCCTCCCATTCTCCATTGTTGCCCAATCCAATGCATACGAACGATTGTCCTGCTCCAGCCCAGCATGCCCATCATTCAACTTCTTGATCCGATGAGATTTGACTGGAAAACGCTCAAACACAGAAACATCATCCAATATCAGAAGAATCAAATTGGTAAGTTATTTGTAAACTGCCGGCTTATAGCCCATTCCTCCCGTTCACCTTTGTTGCCCAACCCAATGCATGTGAACGATTGTTCTGCTCCAGCCCATCATGCCCATCATTCAACTTTCTTGATCCGAGTGGATATGACTGAAAAACGCTCAAACACAGAAGTATCATCCAATGCATCAGCAAAATCTATTTAATTTCTAGCTCTTCCACTCCCACTTTATATTCTTCTCTTCCTCCCATTCTCTACTGTTGCCCCATTCAACTACAACTGCCATCTGCGCGAACGATTGTCCTGCTTCAACCCATCATGTCAATCCTGCAACTGCCTTGATCCGATTGTCTTTGACCGAATGGCAAGTCCATGGCGTGTACGCACCCCACTACAACACACGCGTCCCTTGACACCCCATCTTCGCTTGTACACTCGGCTACCACGACCAATCGCAACAGCATTCATTCCAGCAGTTGCTATTAGTAGAGCCTTTACTCCATTGTCTCAAACGGTGTCATTTATATGCAGCATCCTATCCTGCAGCCTTTGTTACGTGAACAGCAGATAACAGCCATTGTACAGAAGCATCTTTATTTACGCGTGGCAACCGGCTGCAATACATACGGCTTCTTATGGATATGGAAGGGATCTGAATATTGGTTTGGTACATTGGATGGAAGGAATTGGATATACAGCGTGTCGAAAAAGAGGGTATGTATCCATTATCAACGTGCTCATTATGTTTGATGCTTTCATCCTGAACGATTGGTGCATCCCATTATCGTACTCTACACGCTATTCCATGGCAACTATCACAGCATCATCCTTGTGCAACCTGTGAGCGATGTACAACCATCAGCATCTCTCTCCATGATTTGACACGCCATGCAACAAGTGCCACCTCACATCTATCTATTCACCTTTGCACAATGCATCCCCAAAAGGATAGAACTTTCCAAGTCGATGTATCTCCACCCCCATTCGAGCAATCCGTTGTACCTCTCAATCTATCTCTTGTGAATGATGTTGGGTTAAAGGATATGTAGTGCGAGACCTTCCTCGTTGTGTGTATGGCATGTGTTGGATTGTATTAAAGATTCATGGTATGGGGAAATGCAGGGTTGTAAAGGTGTATGCACTTGGGAAAAAGAAAGGAAGAGAAAAGGTCTGATTGATTCATTGTGTCTTTGATGAAGGCTGTATTCGAGAATATAACCATCCACCCCGTTCTCTGTGTTTATATCTTGTCAATAACGTCTCAATAAACGTTCCCTTTTGTGAGTTGAATACTGTAAGAGTGTTGTCTTAATGTATACGGTGGGAGATCTCATCTCCAATATGACGGCGATGATCCACAACGAAGATCGTGACATGCAATTTCCTCGTAACCTTACTGCTGGTAACTTGATCCTCCATCATCAGCATATACTTAATATTGACATGTGTCTTTGTTAGCCGAGATTGATTCATTGATAAAGAAATATAGAAATTGTTTAATTACGGTAGATGACAACAAGAAGAAATTAAAAAGGAGTCTGATAAGAGAGTACAATAGTAAGCTGCTAATACGTAGCTACGAGATTTGGAATATACAAGTGTAATGAGAAAGAGGATATCTATTACCATCCTTGAGCAAAAGAAAGGCCTCCAATGGCAAGTGTAAGACCATAAAAGATGGCACTGTAACCGAGGCGGACAACACGGTTGCCATAAATCAATTCGCTGAATGCAAAGACCACCGTGAATGCAAAGTAGATCCAGGTGATGATCATCACGGCACGGGTGGAGGCATTACCAAACGTGTTGAGAATGAGCACCGAGAGCAAGAGCAAGGTGTTTTCACGAAGGACGTTGTTGAGATTGGCAACACGATTCTCAAGTCTACCATCAGTGGACCCTTTCCAGAATTTGCCTTCCTTCTTTGCCGCTGTCTCGGGATCTTCAGAGGTCTTGGATGACTCGCCACCTTCACTGACAACGTGGCGTAGCAGGTACACAGCACCCCAAAGGACCCATTGGGTGAAGAAGGCAATCCAAGTTAGACGCACATTGTTATCGGAAACAAAAGCATCAATGTTCTTATCCATGGTGACTTGTAAAGTGGTGGTTGTTGTAGTTGTAGTTGTGGTAGTGAGTTGTATAAAAGTAATGATGAGGATGGCGAGGAGGATGCTATGGGCGGTTTATATATCTGTTTTCTCGGTAAAACATTGAAATCAAAGTTATTGACGAGTGGGTGTGTTATTATTCATCATTGTGTACGCGTATTAGATCATACAAACCTGCCACATGTTGTTCCGGCACCACCGATCCATCCTTTGGATGAAACCCAGCTTGGTGTATTGCACCATTAGGTAGCCGGCAAAGAATTAGTCATCCATGGCGCGCCTTGTATACGGCGGTCGATCGGATGGTGGCATTGTTTTGGTTGGCAGGTGACAGCCTGGTAATACAAGCGCGTGGATTGCTCACGATCATGCCGCAGTATGCTGTCTTGTATTACCCAACGGCATTAGACGCCGCATTTACCCGCCCACTCTATCCCAACTTTTTACCGATTCTATCCTGCACACATAAAGCACATACCACCTGACTTTTTTCGATTACATTCCAGCACTCGCTTTTGATACGTTATCGCACAATCACTCCATTTTTTTCAATTGGGTGCTTTATGTCATTGTATTTTACTACATGCTCATGATGATGGTTTGTTGAGTGTTGCTATCAATCCAAAGGTATCATTGGTGGTGTAGATAAGAATACGAGGGAATGTTCAAAGGCCATCTGACAAGGCGAATCGATTTCATGGTATGTTCTACAGATCCGAGGAATGGATGTATGCTCCTGGATCGTCACGAGGGTCATGGTATCATCTTATCGGATAAACTTGATGGCTCACATCTTTTGGTTGCGTCTTTTTAGTGGCCGGGAGTTGCCGATCAAAAGCATAAAGTACACAAACACTCCATGTGCATCCATGTCACTTTTCATTTTGGTATAGAGCGTATCTTTCACCCGATCATCAGATAATGCAAAAAGCACCCATGTCAGCAGCATGTCGTGAGAGACCTACATTAGTAAGGAAGATGAATTACGCCACCACGCTACTGAAAGAATGCACAGCCGAGCATTGGGGGAAGCATCAAGATGGGACAACCGGGAGACTATTATGAATCGTCATAGTAGCATCAAAACCTTGACGTAGGTGAGCCGAATTAATATACTCGGTTGATAATAATGCCGTATACACTCAATTTGTGTGTTACCTGCGGGCCGAAATGACGAGAAGAACAAAGAAAACCTGGTACAATGGCCAGACTCTTTCTTTGTCATACTTAAAAGTCATGCTATGCAAAACAATCGACGCGCTGTGATACAAAATCCTGCAAGGATGATGACAATCATTCTTTCATCAACTCTATATCGCTGCAATGATGTATATAGGTACCATTACCATTACCAAGGGCAAGTGAAGTGAAGCACAATGATGGATGATGGGTATATGTATACATTGTCGACTCAAAGATTGATGATAGGCAACCTATGCCTACGTCTATGTAATCGAAACATTTCACATGATGATAAAAGTAGGATGACGACATCATTGGTTTCTCATTTGTACATAACAATGGTATTCTTGGATCTTCTACGTGGTGATCTCTTTCTAAAAGAATATAGGAATATAGTATTACACAGTTGTTCTGGAGGAGATGATGATGATGATGGATGAAAGTAATAAATACAAGAGGATGTAGTAGGAGGTGAGTGAGTGGGTAGGTAAAGAGGGGTAACTGTAAAGGAATGCTTGACGTTGTTGATTAGCCGTTTGCATAAAAGAATCCAGTTCCAAGACCTGCTGGTACAGGTGGAGGCTCTAGTTGACCATGGGGAACTTCAATACGATCACCAGCAATCTGCAACAGCTTTACTTTGACACCAATTTCTGTCAACGAGTGTAAATACTCTGCTGTGTCCTTGCTTGTGATACCCTTATCGAGCAGCATGCTGAATCCATCTTTCCATTCGGAAGCTTGTGCTGATGATGTACAAATAAATTCCGCCAATGGGACATGGTCCTCTGAAAACAATGCAAACGAAAGAGTGGTGGTCGAATCGGATAATGTGGATAATGATGCAACATTGGATACTTTGCGACGATAAGGCTTGACTTCTGAGGCATGGGTTAGGTCGACTTTGTTGGTCAACTTGTCAAAGGATTTGATGACAGGAGGGAACTTTTCATTGAAATCCCCATATTGTAATGTCTTTTTGGATGGGCTGAGCTTGTAATATCGCCATCGTCTAGGAACTGATAATGAGCTGCTGCTAACTCCAGTGCCGCTTCCAGGAGCATTCGTGCCGCTGCTGCCGCTGCTGTTACCACTTCCACCTGCACCACTGATACCATTGGCACCACCCACACCGGTAGATCCAGCACCATTCGTAAAAGCTGCAACCATACGTTGATTGGTTTGTGGACATGGAAACCATGCACCTTGTAAGAGACAACTGATACGCTGACGTTTGACAAAGTCATACGATTGTCGATTTAAGCGACCCCGGAGATTCCTATATTGAGGACCATTGTTTAGCCATTGCATGATTCAAACAATGAAATCCTTTCCATCAACATACCTTATTGCTTCTCTTCCCAAAAGATCATCAGCCCATTCAAGCTCTTTAAGCCGTCGATCTCGAATTACAGTGTAGGGCGTATTCAACATGATCCGGTCGAATTCAAATATATCCTTGACACCATCACTTTTCAATGTCGCACGTAATTGACTTCGTACTAATGCTGACACCTTTGGAAAATCGGTCGTGGTCGCCTCCATATCTTGAAATAGTCGAAAGAATAATTGCAAGGTGGTAGCGTGAACGTGTTCAAAGTGAAAAAGCAATGGCTCAAATGTAGCAGCCGTATCTAAATGATGCAAGTTTAGTTATCAGGATAAGAAAGAACTAATGTATACTTACATCCAGTGCTAACATTCCAATAGCTGCATAAGAGATCAGTGACTTCAATGCTGACTTTGGCGAACTGGCATCGACGACCATCAGGGCGATGAATTTGTTCAAGAATCATCTGCATAGTACGATAGAATTGAGTATCGAGATAACCACCCTTTGTACATGTTGAATTCATGACATACCTTGGCAAAGAGATCCTTGTGCTGCATAACAAATGCATGCATACGTTCCAAACCAAATACACCAGCTCTGCCAAATTCTCGGTGGGGGACCTCTGACTAGAATTGATATACAATGTAAGCTTTGTTGTTGTTGCTTCCATTCCATGCTACTACTTGCCGAGAAACCAAGTTTACGCCATTTCTTTGCACCTGGGATAGGGATATCTTGGACATTGGCAGCCTCCCAAATGTTGTTGAGCATTTTCGCATGCCGCGGGTTATAGATAGAAATCTGGGTCTTACGACGGCGATCCGCATTGTGAATCAGCGCTGATTGAAACTCTAATACTTGTTCCTTGAGTTCTTCAGGTGGGTGATTATCCATGATACGCTTTTAGATAGATATCCATGTCAGCTATTATCACATGATGATGATCCAATGTACTTACCAATACACTTTTACGTGCATTACTATTATCAATTTCTTCCAATAATTCACTGCGATGATCATCGGTGACATACTTGAGCATGGATGTGAGGAGCGTCAAGCTGTTGAGACACAAGACGTAATCTGGACTTTGAAGACGTTGGATCAACAATGATAATAGATCAGGCTCTTGTTGTAATACACGATGGATAGCTGGATATCCCATGACAGCTTCATTCTGGGCAGTGGCAGTGGAAGAAGCTGAAGGTGGTGTAAAAGGCATCATACGCTCAGCACATACGACCTTGATGAGGATCGCAGTAGCCGGTCGACAAATGGTAACCAAGGTCTCTGAAGCAACAATGTGCGCAACCGTTTCGACAAATTCGGGTGTCAATGACTTCCAGCTTGCATCGTGATCCATGAGCGACGTAAATGAGTTGAGAGCATAAGCGAGAGTGTTGCCACTGACTTTGTTGATAATGTCGCAAAGGGATTCCAATCCTCCTCGTTCAAGAAACTCGGCAGCAAAATCAGGTTCCTGGTAAAAGGTCAAATGTCAATGGAGGTAGTGTGAATGGGGCTATGAGTGTCTAACCTTGAGATACTTTTGAAGTGAAAAGGTCGCGATCTTGAGCACCTTGTCGTCCTTTGCACTGGTCTCGTTAAGGCTGCCATTCGTCGACATGCGCTTCACAAGCTGCTCGGCTTCAATAGGCGAGGGTGCAGCATCAAAGTCGTGTGAGCTGCGTGGAAGAGACATGAAAAAGCTTGAAAGGATAAGGAAAGGGAACGTGCACGCTAACGACTAAGGTTCGGGGCATTTTCAACATGCAGCAGCTTATTAAACATCCCCTGTCTGCTACCTCGTTATGTTGCACAGACACACAAAAGCCAAAATCCAGGTCAAATACACACACACACACACATACAAACCCTGCATCATTGTAGTATCAATTCTTCCTCATGTTTATAAAATAAATCATCGCTTTATATGATCATCCAATCAACCATTCCGATTCATTTGATTGCATATCCAAAAAGTGAAAAAGCGGAAAGGAAAGTGAGAGGAGGATGGGTCACCATGGGTACCGTTACCCAGCATATTGCAATTAGCAACCATCAGGCTCACACACACTCACTCACACGACGCATCCATCCACCCGAACAAAATCCCATGCTTGATCGCTCACTTTGTATCAGGGATCAAATCTATCTCTGTTCTTCACATTGCTATGGTAGATGCAGCATGCAGAATTTCTCAATCGTGAAAACCACGCCATTGGGGATCATTGAATGTCAGATCTACCAACATGGCCTGGAATATACTATTATCTTTGTGTTACATAGCAATGCGCTACAAATAGCAGTTCTGGAGCACAAGTATTGTAACTCCATATCAATATCATAAAGCTGGATGGCTGTCAATGGTCTTGGATCAACGTCAATTGAAGATGACTACTAGCTGCATTATAAAGGCACATGGTCCCCGATCTTGTAGATAGTTAATTAGGACAACATGTCAATTAAAAGCCTATTTCGATCGATCCCTCTCTGCATCAGATGGTGGTGGATGACATGGATGAGAACAAAGATTGAGTGAGCGGCTTTGCTTATGTAATGCATATGCTAGAATTGAAAGAATTGGTACTCTCCATGTTTATTTACAATGCTAATATCAGAGTGATGGGCAAAAGCTCATAGATGAATGGGCCGGTGCCTGATCGGGTTTATGCACCGACAAAAGACAAATTCCATGTGGCAGAACCATATTACAAAAAACGACTCTCTTTCTTCAGCCAACTCGACATGACAGCACAACAACATGAGAGGCATCGCCCCGATCGTCTCGGCGTCATTCGTACACTCAAGCGCATCGTTCAAACACACGACACGCTCCAATGCATATCCTTTTTCTTCTTTGCCCATCGTCACAAAGCTTCTTCCTCCTCCTGTCAACATTGAATCCTTAACTTGTGTCATTGCTATCACTGTATACCTGTCGAGTTACCATCAGTAGCCCATAACGATGCCACCGATGAGTACTACATTGCAGTCATTCGACGATATAACGAGGCTTGGTAAGTAGACCATGGATTGTGTGATTAATGCACTATCAAGTTCATCTTTCCTCATATGGGAAATAGTATCCTCTTGTTCAAAGGTCAACCTGGCAGCATACCACCCATTGTACTCCATATCATACCCGTATACGAGAGCTTCCATTATACAATCGGTAAGTGGGTGCATCGTTGCTGGATGATTCAACACTTTATTCACGATGTTTTACAGCACAAGCAGCTGTCAATGTCAAGGGGGCATGTCCAGGTATCTTTATATGGAATGAGCTAAAAGCACAACATGGTCTCATTTATCGAAAGCATTTCGCGTATCTCTTTATGCGCAGCATGGATCCAATCCAGTGAGCGACGTCCTGTTTCCAGCAAAGGAGGATATGATGACCTTTTTATCCAACATTAAAGCCGTGATTGATCTTGCTCGTAAGTGGGGGGGGATTTGTTTCAAATCCAGTGAGATTTTTATGCAAACCATCGTTCTATTAGGCAAAAACAAACTTGCAGTTACAGGAACATCCCATCATTGGACGAACGCCTACTCGCAATATTGCTGTAAGTAATCACACAAGGGGATCTGGTATGATTGAGGAAGGCACACAGGTGGTGACAACGATACGCCGTAGTGGAAGAAGATGATCATCGATCCATGACAACAACAACAACAAATACGAAGACCATCTCCAGTGTACTGCCCCATGTGCTTCCATGGCTTGACAGCGACCCAAGTCCTTGCCGATCGAATCTTTCACGTACCACGAGATCACCAAACCAAATGTTAACAGGCAATGCAGCAAAACGACATTGGCTGAATACGAGGCTGGTTGCTCGGCAGGATGAATTTGTCACATGGGACACATCAAGGTAACAGGATCATGCGTGTGTTTTTTGGGGAAAAAGTTTAGTTGACATTGGCAGTTTAGGATTTTTGCTGGTACATACAATGTCCATGGCCGGTTACCAACAATGTCTTTGAAGCCATGGCTTGCTGCGAACGCAGATTTTGATCCGGATTTTTATGTCATTGGGTAAGTCATCGCGCTCTGGATTTGCATGAATCGGCATTGATTTGTTCATTGGAAGGCTCCAGGAAATGGAGAGTGGAAAGGATGCCTATGTACGATACGACCCTGCAAAGGAAAATGCGTGGGTAAAGGCCATCTTCAAGGCTTTGGGAGACAAATCAGAGGAATACTACAAGGTAAGGTTCTCGTGAAAAAGCCTTGTTGAAGCGAGTGTCTTATTAGCAATACACGATGATAGGTTGCCACACAGCAGCTCGTGACCATCTTGATTGTTGTGATCGCCAAAAAGAAACATCAACGTTTCATCACGGATGTGGATACCGCGTATGTTGGCGTTGGGCTTATGAACATGATGGCAAGTGATGCTTAAAGGATGAGACATACTCGGATTGGAATTGCTTATCTTTAAATGTAGGGCAACAAAGGAGGAGTGGGCATCCGGTTTCGTTTCCATGACAGCTATCTTTGCTTCGTTGGGTGCCATCTTGCTGCCTTCACTGACCAAATCGATCGTCGTAATCAAGATTTTATCGAAATTTGCAAACGTCTCACGTTCACCCAGCAACCTGATCCGCTCATCGATTACGTCAAGTATTCCTGGAATGATGCTGATGATGAAGGAATGGCTCTTTTGGATGATCAAGGTGTTGCGCGTGATTGGTCCCTTGAAGGATCTGTTTTTCATTCCGAGTAAGTGCGCTGCCTACTGATAATTCAATTTTCGAAATACTAAAGAGGCTTCAACAATATAGCCACCTCATTTGGCTTGGTGACTTGAACTATCGAATCAACTTTCCAGAGCCAGAGATCAAGTCATGCCTCCGAAAGGGTCAATTGGATACGCTCGTAGCAGCTGACCAGGTAAGAAAGACACTAGACGTTCCTTATGGTCATACTTATTTGGATCTATATCCAGCTGGCGATTGAGCGGAAAGATGGCCGAGCATTCTCCATGTTTGATGAAGGCAAACTCAATTTCCAGCCCACGTACAAATATGATGCAGGCACGAATATGTATGATTCGAGGTACGTGTGAATGGGCTATCCGCAAGGAAGGGGGTTTTCATCGCGTATTCTAAATGCATATGGTAGTGCCAAACGACGTGCCCCCGCTTGGACAGATCGCATTTTATGGAGGAAGGATCGCACCCAACCATCGACTCGAAATGACGTTGCCCGGCAACCAACAATCAAGCTTATGCATTATGACAGCTGTATGGACATGTTATTGAGTGACCATAAACCGGTGTATGCTCATATGGAAATCAAGGTACGTGTACATATATACAGTGCTCTGATCCATTCATTTCTCTAATAATGATGTTTGATATAGGTTCGGAAAATCCATAGCAACGACTATGAGAGATGCGAGAAGGCGTTGAAGCAACAACTATCGGCCAGCAATGGAAGGAGCAGTAATACCGGGCAATGCCAGCTATCCACTGCCTTTGTACAATTCGATGACGTTCATTTCATGGAATCCAAAGAGATGACGATTGAGCTTGAGAATACTGGAGATACATTGACATCGTTTGGATTCGTTCCCAAAGTGGATGATGGTGAAGAACAAGAGCAAGTATGTCCACCATGGCTTCAAATTCATCCAATCACTGGTGTTTTGGCTCCTAGTAGGTCGTTTGTGATTTGTGCTGGGTCATAGAAGATCAAGGATTAACCCTTTCTTTTTTTCATTCATTTACAAGGTGAGAAGACCATGCTGTATTTGCGCATATGGGTGGATCCTGCTGTGTCTGCTCCGCTCAATGAAGGGAATCAACAAATCGACACCGTGCTTGTGCTACGACTGGAGAATGGCAAAGATTTATACATTGTGGTCAAAGGCAGATACATTCCCACATGCCTTGGTATACATTTGGATCGATTGGCCCTGATGTCATTGCCTGTATCATCTATGAACAATCACCTTGACCCCAGCAAGAAGAACAACCAGGCAACAATAGACAACGCTTCCACTCAGCAAGCGACATTACCAAAGGAGCTCTGGCGTGTGCTCAACTATTTGTGGAACAAGAGTATGCTATCTATTGTACGTTTGTTTATATAACCTCGCATCCACGACCTCAAAACTAAAGATGTATACGCAATAGGATACCCTATTTTTGCAGCATGGTGATCCTACCATTTGCGATTATATCCGGCGATGTCTTGATACTGGCAACGCACTTGATACGACGATCCTGCTCAACAAGAGTGATCCTTCTTCGTCAGCTGATGAGATTGCTGCCAATTCGATGGTTGATGTGCTTGTTGCGTTTCTTGAATGTTTACCAGAGCCTGTGATACCAACAGCGTTATATGAGCTTGCATTGGAAGCCAGTGATTCATCACAAGCAATGGTCGAGGTAAGTTTAAAAACGGGGACCATCATCGATAGCGGATAAGGAAAACTTATCATTTAAGTAGTTAAAGGATAGATTACCCTACATTCATCTCAATGTGTTGTTGTATATTGCAAGCTTTCTAAAGGATGCCATCCAACTTGCCCCTGATACTGTACGACAAGAGCGCACGTGCCACATTGGTAAGCTTTTTTTTCTTTTCTACATGCGTGTCACTTTTGCATGATGTCAATCCCACGTTTTTCTTTTGCTGATCATCTCCTTTTTTGTTCAATGACAGTGCAAATGTTTACCATAGTGCTACGACCACCACCCCTTTACAAGCAACAGAACCCCCAATTAGCCCAACAAAAAGCATCACGATTCATCCTTCGACTTTTGCATTAAAGTGATATCCAATGTACAATGTTGCCAAATTTTTATTGCCAAATGCTTTACTTGCGAGACTATAACACTTTTGTTAGTTACCATGTCACACAGCATGTATCATTTAAAACTCTTACCTTAATCTTCTTGAGGTAGAATTCAAGTTCCTTGCCTTCAAGAATGTAACCATCAGCACGACCGCATTGACCAGGGCGGGAAGAGATGACGGCATAGAGACGACCAGCAGCGAATTGGTCATCCAAAAGGGTGTCGACAGCACCGTTTTGTTGACGAGCAGCGACCTTCTTTTGAACGCTCTTGGACTTTTGAGCAACGGCAGCAGCGACTTCTTCAGCCTTGGAAGTAGCGAGCTTCTTCTTGCCGAGGGGAAGAGCATAGTGGTTCTCGTACCATTGACGGAAAGGAGTGGCATCAATTTGGACAACAGCATTCTTGACAAGAGTGTTGGTACGGACCAACTCGTTGTTGGAGGCGTTGTAGACGACAGTCAAGATACGGGTCTTACGGGTGACACCTTCAGAGCCCCAAGAGTAGTTGCCAGACTCCAAACGAAGAGCACGGAACTTGGAGTTACCACCACGAGTGCGCACAGTGTGGACACGCTTGGCACCAAGCTTGGTCATGGCAGCAGGACGACCCAACTCGAACCTGTTTTATGAATAAACGTTGTCAGTGTTTTCTTTTCTCATAGTGGTCGTTGATATAGATATCGATGCATTACTTTCTCTTTTTGCGATAAGGAGTGCGCTTAGCACCAGTCTTGCTGTATTAAATCGAATATAAAAAAAAGACGTGTGTGTGAGAAATGGTTGTCATGGAAACGTGTGTCGGCAACGTTTGGTGGTACAGAGTGTGTTGTTGCATAGGGCTATTGCATAGCTGTTGTTGCCGACAATGATGGTGATGGTGATGGATGAATGATTGGTGATGGTGAATGACTTACGAGCACTTTGAGAGTGAGCTACGGCTAATACCTAGATGGATGAATAAAGATGATGAGTGGATAACATTGATAAATGGATGGATGGATCATTCATGTAGGAGGGATATCTTACCCATAGTGGAAAGAGGGAGTTGTCAGATGGCAGCAGCTGGACTTTAGGATATTCTCTCGGGAGTGTGTGGCAGGACTCACACTATGCGGGACGTCAAAAAAGAATTTCGGCAGGGCACACTCAACTATACTTCCTTACACTTTTTACTATGGCAAAGAAGGCAAAAGCAAGAGTTATCCTTGTCAAGCTCGTCTCCTCTGCAGGCACTGGTTACAACTATGTCAAGAGCCGACCTAGAATTAGCCCAAAGTTGTCCATGATGAAGTACGATCCCATGGGTAAGTCCACATTCTCAGAATTGACTTTTGGTCTTCCTTTCTCATTTCGCCTCCCCTTCCCTTTTTTGTGTGCCCATGCATATAGTCAAGCAGCATGTTCTCTTTACCGAAACGAAGAAAATGAAATAACCAGCATGTGTATATACTATATATTGTCCCATTGTCAACCTTGTTCACACAACAACTCTCTCAAATACAATTGGATTCCATTGACAAAGCCACAACACTTGTTTTCTTCCCTTTTTCTTTCTCTTTCTCTTTGCGACATTGACTCCATCATGCTACGTGCAGTGTGGATTATCGCATTCAGTCTTTTCGTTTGTTATGCAGCTGCCAATACCGAAAAGCTTATGTTTACCGCTGGGGAACGACCCTGTCCTGAAACTTCATCCACCTCCATAGCAATATTGAGCCCGCCTCACACAGCCATCGAACGAGTCAAAATCAATCCTGGAACACAGCATTTGTTTACCCTCAAAGACTTGGAACCAGGGATGCGTTATGAAGCTCGTATCTCGTATCCAGCAACAGTAAGATGGGATGGGGAATTGCATGTCTATTCTTGTGCTGGAAATTGAACGTTGCATGTATTTTAGTCACCCACCGATTTCTCATTGACGCTCGAGGATGATTGTTTATTACGTGTGGATGCAGTCTATGCAGGTGTATCGAACATCCAGGGCATGGAGAACGCTCCTGTCACTTATGACATTGGTAATCATGTGAAAAAGAAGGATTTGGGAAGGAGACAAACGACTGATGTATATGGTATCTAGTGCTGGAGAATTTGTACCTTGGCTTTTTATTCTATCAAGTATACAAGGTTGTCATAGCCATTGTCCTCGTCCTCGTGTTTGGCCAATTTATAGTGATTCCCAAAGTGCGTTCCATGATCCAACAACACGTAGATAACCATGAGAAGGATGAATAAAGAAGAGGACAATCTTACATAGTTGAGTGATGTTTATGTACAATGATGTTTCAAAAAAGCAAAACAAGGGAGAGAAAGACGACAAGAAGGACAAACTTTTTCATGATGGTGGACAGCAGGAGGGAGAAAGGGTAGAAAGGACTGTGGTATTATAGCTTGCACAATGGGTGCACTTGTGATAGAAAAAGTGGAAAGGGACATTGGTGGAACGGGATTGGCAGTCGTTGCAAAAGATGGTAGAAACATAGGACTTGTACTCTTCAGGCATAGGTTGTTGACGCATTTCTTCGTCAATGAGCTTAAAATAGGCGGACATGTCGGTCATACTTTTGAGGCAGGTAGGGCATTGATAGGCAGTTTGACTGTAAGCAGTGTAGCATGGTTTGTGAATGCAATGACCACAGGGCAAAAAGGTCACGGGTGTGCGACTGGTGAACATGTATTCACCACAAATAGGACAATCGCTCTCGAGGCTGCGTTCGATACACTTGTGGTTGTTTTGCATGCTAATGGTCATGCATACGTTACATGTTTTGCAGTGGAAGAAATCCTTGCCGAGGCCTTGGCCTTTGCGACAAATGCCACAATCATCACAGTGGTATGCAGAAGCATCAGGTTGGTCATCCCACAGCTTGCACTTGTCACAATAGTAGCGTGCAGCTTCAACACCACATGCACGACATACTTTGCCAGCAGGTTGAAGGGTCTTGCATAACATGCACATCATGTTTTTCGTCGTGTGGCTACTTGAGATCACAAGATGTAAGCATCATCATCCACGCATGTACGTATATAGGTCGTTTATCATTATTACATACCGATCAATCATATGATCACTCGCTTCATCATGGCAAAAGCGACAAGTGAATAGTCGTCCACAGCATTCGGCTTGAAGCTTCACTTTACGTTGATAATGCGTGCATCCTAGAATGTTTTCCTTGTGATCCTGCAAACATTGTCATTCATGCATGAGTGACTTGTAATCTCGTGACATCATTGTAAAACATACATGATACGTCGGCATTCGTTCACCATCCAACTCAAGGTTTTGCAGCATGGGTGTTGTAGTATTAGCAGCACATTTAATTGTAGATGTTCGTGACGATGACATGAGTTGCTGGATGATGTATACAATGATGAGATTCATGGATTGGTTGGTGGTGGTCAATGATTTACCTGTACTTTTCTCGCCTTTTCCTTGCTCTCAAGGGATGGATCGTCATAAATGTCTCGTATCCGTTTACGCAACTCTGTTTCTTGTCGCTTGCTTTCATGGATCACGGTAGGTGTGGGTAGTTGAAAAACGTGATGGCGGAGTGGTTGAAGCCGTGTGTCAATGCCACCCATGACAATTTCGGATCGAACGTGTGTTGCAGTGGGTGAGGGTATCATGATGGTATATGGTTGGTGTCTATTAATATGATGGAAATCAAATGCGACGAGCGGGTTGAAGAAAAAAGAGAAGGGGGGGTAAGAAAAAGGATGGTGACGATAGAGTGTGGTATGCCTTTATAAACGTGTTGTGGGGAATGTGTCTTGTGAGGCTGTGTTATATATATGAAATGTGTGGCTCCAATGGCGATGACGATAAATGCAAGGGCAGAAATATGTATCCTGTATCCGGGCAGCTGGAATCGCGCGAAAGGTGTTGCCTCATGTGTAACCAAAGCACAATCGCGCGAGACCATGAGTGTGTAACGTGGCGAATGGCAGGTGCGCTCTTGGTTGTGGAGTTTACTTCTCGCGCGAAAAGGCCGTCAGCTCAACCCACACATAGCCACTTTTTTTTAACCTTCCACTTTTTTTTCAAGGCGTGCTGTCGGATTGGAAAGGTGGGGGGGGGGGGAAACCAAAAACTGTTGTTCAAGGAGAAATTTTCTCCCCCACACAATTCCCTGCATGTGTATGGACTTCAATATTCTTTTGCTCATTGCTCCTTCTTCTATCTATTGAAAACACGGCGGGTTCCATATCACCAATAACATGTATGTCATTGTGATAGAAATGGTTCATTGTATTAGGATCTCTCATTTTTGTTCTTTAGGATCAGCCATCATGATGATGATGGGGTTCTCCTGGGAGCCTTTTTTTTTGCTCTGGTGATCTTTTGGCATGATCGATTCGTGAGCTGTATATCTCCTTGTATGGGAAACAACTGCTGTGGGAGCACAAGCCATACTTTACAGCCGTTCGGGGGAATAAGGTCATCCCCAAATACATGTTGGCTTGTGCCTGTCGTCAATTGTTGGTGGAACGGTAAAAAGTAAATGTTGTTGTTGGATGGGGTAACGTGATGATATCGACATGGTCCAAGCTAAACACCCGTACATCAGCTGTACACTTTTTTGATAAAGTGGATGGCATATGGGGGTTGTCGTGGATGCTTTTTGTTCCAAAAGAGGGTGGCAGCTAATAAAATCAAAAGCCTAAATCGGCTGATGATGATGATGATGATGTCTCATCATCACATACCACATCCCAACCAACCCACATCTGCTTGCATGCAACTTTCAGGTACACATGCAGTGTGACATACTTCGTGTCGGCGAACAAATCCCTTCCAGTTATCAGGAACAGATGCTGTCAACACAAAAGCATGATGAGCCAAGTACACTATGTACGCAAGATGTCTATCCTTCTTGTCTCATCATCATTGATGCTTTTATTCTATCATACAAAGAGTGGCTGGCTGGCTGGCTTAAAGGCATCCTTGAAACACACATAGCATTAAAATTCATTGTTTCATATGGCTAGTGTGGATCCATGGTTGATAATTGGGACAGCATCAGTGATGCATGGCGATAGAGAAAGGATCATCATCTTTCGTGCGGAGCATACAAACACGCGTGCACTTTGCAAATAACATGGGAGCTGTCATTTAAAGAAATTGTTCGCGCGAAATTGGATGCATGTTGCTCGAGGTGGCTATGCATTGCCCTCCGGTTGCCGTGTTTGATAAAAGTAAACAAAATCACCACCATACAGTGAAAATGGTGGGCTCTTTATGATCGAAATAATGGAATTGCTGTGGATAATAAATGTTGTCATGCATCATCTCTTACATGCACGTGTACCAGTAGTGTGTATGCATAAACCCGTTATAAAAGTCTACCAATGGTTACCTATGTACAAACTTATCCCTTGAGCAGCTGGGTATAACAACCCACCCTCTTTGATCCGAGCCTCTCAAGTGTACCCCAAAACAAGATCCCGATACGTATTTCTTTTTTCATCACCATTCTTACATCACTCTGTGTTTATCATAATGCCAACAAAATCAGGCCACTTTTTTACTCCTTTCATATTCCTTGTGGGGGGGGGAGATGTTTGAACAACCGGTAAATGACATACATACATAACCTATCAATGGTATGCTGCAATCCAAGCACTTGTTACTGACCCCTTTAGGCTAGTGTCAAACAACACACGCACTTCCGATGCCGGTCCCGACTCACACACTCCTTGCCTCACCCCCCGCTCTTTATGCAAATGCTTGACATGGATCTTGGGTGTATATGAAACACCATCCACCTTTGCATACCCAATCCCATCTCTCATTCCAATACCAAACAAAATGCTGATGATGTGTGTATGTGTGTGTGTGTGTGTGTGCGTGGCGCCTCATATTACAAAGTATATACATGATATCTATGGATGGATAGAACAAGCAACAAGCAAGAGGTAAAAGAAAGAAAATGAATGGATATGAGAGCCGCAATGCGACAAGATTGGAGGGAGCCATGCGAATTATGCCTTGAATTTGAGCATGAGAAGATCGCCCACCTCACTAATTTCCTTCAAAGTATGATCTGATATTGGTATTAACAAGGGAGTACGTTAATAGGAGATCTTCTTCATCATAGGCACATCCCATCCCATCCCTCCCCCCAATGGCATAACCCTTTTCCCTCTCCTCCTCTACATACCTAAATCTTCCCTTGTGTGTGAAGCGGAAACACAAAATCGCGCGCGTGAGCTGATGATGGGTGTTGCTGGATAACCGACCACACAGATAGCAATCTCCCGTTTCAGCATTTCGCGCGAGAAGGCTGAAATCTTGGCTGGGTTGAATAGCAACAAGGGTACCACAGGGCTGCCTTCATCACCATACACAATGAAGCCCATTTCTCGAAGCTTGGAAGCAAAATAGTGTGCATTGTCTGCAAGTTGACGAATCCGGTTTGCGCCATCTTGTGTACCATCTTCGCCTCTATGTACCCATTCATCCTCAATGAGCTGCCATCCTTGTCCCCCATGGAATTCCTTTCTTCATATTCATCCTACCTTATAATACTCATGCTGGTGTTTATCTGTTGGGCAACAGGAGGCGTAATTGCTTCCGCATACAAGTAAGAATGATTGGTTAAGCGCAAGTGGTCAATTACCGCCTAAAGGGTAAAAAGAATCAACAAACAAAATGAGACCTCCTCGCTATCATGGGATTTTTTTTGGGGATCATGTGGTATGTTACCTTGTCGGCAGCAATGTATCCTCCTGCGGCACCAAATGATTTCGTAAAGGTACCCATTAAGATGTCGACATGTTTGGGGTTGATGCCTAAACGCAAATTGTCGGTAAGCTACGTAGGTAGATGTGCCACATTTTTCCACCTTACCATAGAAATCACAAACGCCACCACCATGTTCACCCAATGCACCAATAGAATGAGCTTCATCCACATAAAGATTAAACTGCATACATAGAAGAAGAGCGTGAGCATCCTTTCTACCGTCTCCCTTTCTTTTCCACTTGCCTTGAATTCACGCTTTAGCTTGATCAATTCGGGTAGATTGACGACCGAACCTTCCATAGAATAGAGACCTTCCACGATCACTAGAATCTTCTTCCAAGGACGATGGGTGCGTGGTTGACCTTGTGAAATGACTTCACGCAAGAGTTGGCGTAGGTCGTTCATGTTGTTGTGCTTAAACACGCGGATGTTGGCACTTGAGATTCTTGCACCGAAAATGATGGAGCTGTGGTTGAGCTCATCACTGATGATGAGACATCCCTTGCCGACCAATGCAGGGATGGTGGTTGAGTTGGTGGCAAATCCCATAGAAATCACCATAGCATCTTCCTTGCCGACAAAGCGTGCAACACGTGCTTCGAGACGTCGATGCAAATCCAATGTACCCGATTCAGCTCGTGTGGCAGTGCAGCTCATACCATAATGGCGTACTGATTCATCCACAGCATCAGCGCATGGACCTTGTGCTTGTGCAAATCCCAGATAGTTGTACGACGCGAAATTAAGTGCATCAATTTTACGACCTGTCAGACTACAGCATATTAACACATCGAAGAGGGGAATAGTGTGTGTGTATGCGTACCTGAATGTTTTGTTGAAATCATTGGTCTCTCTTTCCAATACAGTCGTCTTGCGTGTGGGTACACCTGTAATGGGTCGATTCCAGCAATCACTACGTAGAGAATGTATGTGAGTGGATCATGTATCTTACACCCGATGGGCCGTATGTTTTACCGAATACGCATGTACAACCGACGCGTGTAGAATGAATCGAAATCGGAGACCAAGGGTGCATAGCCCTAATCCATGATGTCGTCAATCATCAATGCCTGTTGTAGAAGAAGAATAAAGTACATACTTGATTGGTACGCAAATGAGCATACTCATGTCGTTTGAATATCTTGCCGAGAATATCCCTCAAATGACCGAGCAAGATCAAGACAAAGTAATTCAAATAGGTTGATACAAGAATGTATAATGGGGCTTCCTCCATCTTTTGTTGAAAATCCTCATAATTGCGATGAGCTGCTGCAACCGAGTTACGACGTTGTGCTTGAGTCACAGACTTTGCATTGAACCAAATATCGTCATCCAATTTGGCATCGGTGGATGGTTGAGGAGGCACCAAAGAAGGATGAATCATTTTGGGTGGATACGCCGATGACACTGAATAAGCTCGGCGTGTCTTGCCAACAAGGGAGGATAAGGAAAACGTACGTGAACGAGCTGTAGTGCCAATCACTTGTCGACCACTTGTTGTTGCTGATGCCTGATGCTGATGCTGTTGTTGTTGTAATGGCTGTTGTTGTTGTTGTTGCTGTTGCTGCAGCTGCTGTGGTGGCTCCAACATGGTCGGCGGATCGGATGGCGGCTGGATTTCAATCCCGGGCACTTGAAGATGATGACTTGAAGAAGAAGAAGCGGATGACATTGTGCTTCCAGTTGCTGAAGAGGATGTGGTGGTTGTTGTGCCGGAACTCGTCGACATTGTAGGGAGTGGAAAGAGAGAATAGGTCGACTTCTTCTTTTTCGGTGCTCGGTCCAATACAGAGTGTGTCATGATATTTTACCGTTTCGCTTTGCAATAGCTGACCCTGAAAGAAGCTTTAACCGTGTCGTACACGCCTAATGCGAATTAAGGAAGTAGGCGAACGGGTTGAATGAAAAAGTATGGGCAAAGAAAAAAAGAACCGCGCGCGCTCAAAGGGGGGTGGTGAGAAATAAAGAAGAAGGTGGATTATAGATGGGGAGTGAAAAAAAGAGAGAGGTGGGAAAGGGAAAATGCCGCACCTTTGTGTTGCTTTGACGATCTTATAATACCTTTAGCCCCCATAGAATTCACTTTATCTCCTCCATTTTGTTCATTGCTATGCCACTTTTGTCCACACTCCATTTCTACATCATTCATGCTCATCACTGGAACACCGCCTTATCGCCATGGCAGTAAAAGCACGAGGTATCGGCACCTTCTTTTGCCAGTGCACTGGATTGCTATTCCAAGTCCGCTCTTTTGCTCGTCCTTGTATCACCTTGCCTTTATTCATAACCAAACCCTCATTTACAACATAACTACCCTATCCAATTTAATAAAGGAAATCTATACAAAGGTTAAAAATGGGAGATCCACTGGTATAGATTGTATTTGAGTTGTATTGCAAGTAACATGTTGCATATCCTATGTGCCCTGTGCGACGTATGGAGCGCCGCCCAACCCATTCACCACCACTTTGTGTCATTGGTCCATCATCCGAATTTGTATAAAAGACGATTATGCCTTGTATTGAGCAATAGTAAGAGTGTACGGATGACAATGTAAGGGGAGTTTAACGATAACGATGATGATAAGGAGGATTAATACAAGAAGGCGATGGCGGCAGGAAGTTTGCTTTGAATGTTTTTAACCTTTTGCTCGATTTGACAGCTGCATCAAATATGGGCACAAGAGAAATGGGACCTTCACATCCTTCCACAACAAGATGCTCCAAATTGCAAGAACAACGTATGATGCTCTCAGCGATAACGTTGACGGTTTGATCGATAATGGTGCACCCTGATAGTTCAAGGTAGGTGAGTTTAGGAAACAAGGTGTTATACGTTATGATGCGTGGTTGGTTGTTGTTGTTGTTGTCATTGTTGGTGGTGGTAGTTCTCCGTGGATAGAGTGAAAATTTGGCAGTATGGTGACTTTTGAGTGGGGTCGATGGGGATCTATATCTGTTCTTGCTGCTGCTACTACTGCTTCTGATGTACGATGAATGAACGACCAGCTGTGACAAATTTGGGCAGGTATTAATCATGTCTTGTAACTGCTCCGCTGTTATCTCCACGTGATATAAGCATATCATGGACATTCTTGTTTGGAGCTGTAGCGCCTTAAGCAACCGAGGGAAATCGAGTCTACTGCACCAAAGCGATCGAAGTTCTACATACATGGGATCACTTTCAAGGTAAGTATATGGAAACATGTCGATTGGGATAGATTAAATATACCTATTGCTTCCAACGTTGATAATGTTGAATGAAATGAGCTATCCAGCAGCCCAAGAACGATTTCATAGTAATCCTTTGATATGGGACCACCAATAGACAACGCTGGCCATTTTGACCACGTGCTCTTGTGCATAAGGGAATGATCCAAAGGCACACGTTCCATGATGTCGTCCACGATAAAGTTGTACCATTGTGGGCAGGCGGAAAGACAATGGAGCGAGTCTGTAAATGTCAAATAATTGAAAATCATGCGTATGACTTCGCATGGCAAGACGGTGAAAAAATTGCATGCTTTGGTCAGCTGAATCTTGAGTATAGGAGTTTTTGGTGGTTGATCCTCATCAATGTTGCCTTGCGACTGAGAGATCGTTGGCGTAGGTGGTTCCCTTAACAAAGACATGGCCTCCTTTTCGGTACGTGAAATCATCAACATGATAGTGGTTGTATGTATGGGGTTATTGTAAGATCGTAGTATTTATATAAAAGTGAAAGATTGTTTGCCTTAGCCACAGTCGCCATGTGGTAGGTGAATAGAGCGCCACGTTAATTCCCAAGCGTGTTACTGCATTACTGCGCCTTGCATAATAACATCCGCAGCAGTGATCTTCTTCTTGTCTCACAAAGTATTTAATTACACGACATGGACGCGTATACGCGTATGTATGCACATGCCTTACAGCTGGTGGGTGGTGTTTCTGTGTCCCTGCCTTGCGTTCCTTAACCATGGGTTTCACACACAGGGGTCATGCCAATGTGGCACTTGTCGTTGCTAGGCAATGTGGAAGAGTCAACATCATGGTTGCCATGATACGTATTGATCATTCAAATTATCGAGGACTGCTTATGAAAAGTGCTCTCTTATGAGGGGAGTGAAAAATCACTGTCAATCGATTGATCCAATGATTGCGTCATGCAAGCAAGTACTAGCATGGGATATACAACTTGCATTTTGTGTAACGTCAATGGATAGGGTATCCAAACACGAAAATCCATATACTTCGATTATCATTTAATGAAAGAGTGGTGATGGATAATGTACACTGATGGTGGAAGAAGAAAGAAAAGGATGGGTTATGTATGACAACAGAAATGGTCTCTTTGTTTCAAAATCTTCCGAGATTTTGGGTAGCTGCATGATCGGGTTGTTGCGTGTGGTGTCGTCTCGTGCTTTTTTTCTTCGCTTTTCTTTCCCAGCGATTGTCTTTTTTTTCCATTCCTTGTTTCTTCTTTTCCTTTCCATCATACGACAACAACAACGACGTTATGGGTAAAGATTACTACGCTATTCTCGGCGTCCCCAAAAATGCAGACGACGATGCCATCAAAAAAGCATATCGTAAACAAGGTAGACCACCATGACACCAAGCTGTTTGTTGGGTCAAGCTGACATTGCATGTATGTACGTAGCGTTAAAGTGGCATCCCGATCGTAATAAGGATAAGGTTGAAGAAGCCAATCAAAAGTTTCAAGAAGTGGGAGAAGCCTTTGAAGTATTGAGTGACAAGAACAAACGCGCCATTTATGACCAATATGGTGAAGAAGGATTGAAAGGAGGTGGACCACCGCCTGGTGCAGATGCTGCTGGTGGTGGTTTTCCTGGAGGTGCAAGCTTTAGCGGATTCCCTGGTGGCGGCGGTGGTGGACGTACTTATACATTTACATCGGGTGGTCCCGGTGGTGGTGGTTTCAAACCATTCCATCCATCTGATGCTGATGATATTTTCCGTCACTTTTTCGCGTCCTTTGGTGGTGCAGGTGGTGGTGGTATGGGTGGTGGCATGGATGATGATGATTTACGTGCTGGTGGTGGAATGCCTGGTGGTGGATTCTCTTTTGGTGGTGGTATGCCACGTACAGCAAGAACCAGCGGACGACAAGGCTTTGCACGTGCATCACCTCAACCACCACAAAAACCACCTGCTATCAAACGGCCATTACCGATTTCTTTGGAAGACTTGTACAAAGGCACTACCAAACGTCTAAAAGTAACACGTAAGATCCGTGATGGAGCCACAGGTCGCGTCATGAATACGGATAAGATCCTCACAATCAATGTGAAACCTGGTTGGAAGGCTGGCACCAAGATCCGCTTTCCCGGTGAAGGTGATGAGTTGGAGAATGGTCAAACGCAAGATATTGAATTCATTGTTGAGGAAAAACCACATCCTGTATTCAAGCGTGATGGCGATAATTTGCGAATGACCATTCAATTGACACTTGCAGAAGCATTATCAGGTTTCTCAAAAAAGATAAAGACGCTGGATGATCGAACATTGAGTGTAAGCAATGCAAACACCATTGTGCAACCTGGACAAGAATCCCGTGTTCCCAATGAAGGCATGCCAAATTCTAAAACTGGACGCAAGGGTGATCTCATTGTCAAGTATGAAGTCAAGTTCCCTACCAATCTTACACCCACTCAAAAGGAACGTATCAAGGAGATCTTACAATAAGAGTTACTACTACTACCAATGTCTTTATCCCCCCCCATCTTCCCTCCCACCACATCATAAAATAAGGGTCATGTAAATCTCATCCATTTGTGTATAAACAACGCATCGCGCATTCATTCATAATCAATGTCTATCTTTTACCGCGAGCTATTACATTTACTTGAGCAAAAACCCAACAACTTGGAAGGTATCTTATCTTGTCTACCTCTTTCTTCTTGTCATTGTAATACTCAATGCCGTGCTACCAGGATGCGATCTGTCTGCTGTTCATTTGTTTCAACGCATTGTCCAAAGTCTACCACCATTACCAACCAAGCAACATGACTATACCCGTGATCTCGAACATGCAGAGGCGTTGCTCGATCTTGCTCAAGAGTCCATTCTGTTGTATCCCTACAAGAGCGTGCCTACTTGTTGGCGATGTATGATAATGGATGCCGGCGTATTGAAAGCCCTTTGCATGCTTGGCCAAGAGGGTGGTGGTCAGCTCACGTTGGATTGTGCAAGGAGGATGATTTGTGTCCTGGATACGGTGGTTATTATCAGTGGGGCTCCTGGTCCACAACGTCGACACGTTGCATTGGAAACGATCCAAGGTCTTCAAGATTGGCTTGCAAAAGAACAACAACAGGAGGCGACGAATAGCAGCAGCAACATCTCCCATCTTACGACTTTGGACATGCATGATGATGACCCTATCATTTCACGTGATCATTCAGTACCAAGGCTTCCTGCTGTCCCTAGTTTTGTGGATTTTGTTACAAGGATTACAACAAGCGAGACACCCTTCATCATTCCCAAGGGAGCTATTGACCATTGGCCAGCATTGGAGAAATGGCGATCAGTACCGTATTTAATATCAGTGGCAGGCGATCGTATGGTACCTGTGGAAGTTGGCAGCAAATACACGGATCAAGATTGGCAACAAAAGCTGATGCGATTTGAGGACTTTTTACGCACGTATATTTTACCCCATGATGATGAGGATCAACCCTCCGCTTATTTGGCACAACATGATTTATTTCATCAAATCCCTCGACTTGCCAATGATATCGTGACCCCAGATTATTGTTTTTGTGAACCAGAGCCATCCGAACTCTATCCAGACCCACCTCCTGATGTTATCCAGAATGCATGGTTTGGACCCAAAGGCACAGTCTCACCTTTGCACCATGATCCCTATCACAATGTACTGGCACAGCCTGTGGGCAGGAAATACATTCGGCTTTATGCTCCATCCCAAACTGAATACTTGTATCCTCATCAAGGCATCATGTCCAATACGAGCCAGGTAAGCAATGTTTGTCATCTTGATGATACGAGCGATTTCTGATAGAAGTTATTAGATTGATGTGGAGCATCCAGATCAAGAGAACTTCCCCTTAGTGAACAAGGCTGAATATCTTGAATGCATTCTTCAGCAAGGTGAACTTCTTTACATGCCCGTAAGTAGGAGGATGTTATCAATGGGGTCAACTTGTGTGTGTGTGTATGCTAACCTATTGTTTTTTCAATCCATCCATAGCCACGATGGTGGCATTACATCCGCTCCTTGTCTACCAGCTTTAGTGTCAGTTTCTGGTTCTAATACAAGTCATGAATACAAAATACTTTTTTTATTGCCATGGTCACCATCGTCATAGTTACAACAATAATAAATGTACATTACTACAGCGTTCAAGGAATGATCCAGAAATCTTCCAGCCTACGTTCTTGTATCAATATCCGTTCATGTTGATTTTGTTTCCCATGGGATGATGAAGCGGTGGAATTTGAGTATTCGGAAGAATGGGTGGATTGCCTACTCCTTTGAGCATTGTAGAGATCAGAGATATCAACTTCATCCATTGTTCCCTCCTGTGGTGTTGGTGAAAGAGCTGCTTCGTCATCCGTATTTGTTGTTGGAGCTGCCATATCCATCATGGTAGTAACATAGTCGGGTAGCCGTTCAACATCACGTGTGATACTGTTGTAGGTGGGTAATTCATCTGCTGAAGACGCCTGGGGAGGTGTCAACTTCCTGGTGATATGGATGGGTAAGCCAATGCAAACAGGTTGAGGAGTAGCATCATTTGCGAGAGGATGGATAACGAGGCGAATGAAATGACGGATTTCCAGAAAGGGTGAATCGAGTGAATAAGAGAGATTCCCTTTACTGATAATGGTGGCAGGTGAATAGTATTGTGCATTATCCAAGATCCATGAGCATGATGTTGGTAAAATGTCATCGTCTGGCGGTGGCGCAAGGCGTGTTGGAGCATAGGGGATGGATTTGATACGACATGGAGGAGGAGGATGTGCTGTCGAATCGGATTGAGAATGCTTATTGTTGATAGGAAATGAGAATGCAATGTTGGTATCAAGAGGAGGAAAAAGATAAATTGAAGGCTCATTGTGGGATATGAACAAATGTCGTTTTGTCAACCGATCTCCAAATACGATAGGTGTCTCTGCCAAATGGTCCTCTTTGTCATCCTTTCTATATAGTGCTCATTGTTTAATATGGATAAGAGCTCACTTTTTTCTTGAAAAATCAACTTACGTCATGTCATAATGATAAAAATGCTGTTCGACCATATCCACCTCTACCTTGGCTATGCCAGTGATGCTGGATGATGATGATGATATACTAAAAGTACCATCAAAGTCAATCGTATCATTATCAAGGCAAGTCCACTTTGGTACACGAAATTCGTAACGTATGATCGTATCATCATCACCGCGTCGAGAGGCACCACTCATGGTCAACAATGGCACTTGGTAACCAGCTAATGTTGCAATATCATGGGGCAAAAGTGTCTTTTGTAACCAAATCTCCTTCTCCACCCGAATCGGCTTTTTGCATAATTTTGCTCCTGCTGGGACGATCTTTGCAGTGATCATGTAAGTAATATCCAAAAACTTGGATTTGAATGTTGGGCACAGATGACCGGGTATCGTGATCTCAAATCCTGTAGATTGTCGTTGTCGTCGTATTTTGAGCATTGGTTGATTGCATGATGATGATCATCCATTTCTTTTTCTTTTACCTAGTTCGGTAACCCCCGCCGGTAACGTAGCCTCTTCCAATAACGTGCTTTTCGACTTTCGAAGTGTCTTGCGCTCATTCATTCGCTCGGCAAGGAAAGAATGTTCGGATTTCAGAGGATCACGCCAAGCGAGCTCGGTATGGCCGTTGAAACGAACCTCCACCTGATTCAACTTGATTGCTTGTGACATTACGATTCTGAGCTTTCCACGCAACTTTTGGCGACGAGGATACGTGATTGAAGGAAACGATAAGGGCGTTGACGGGAGGTCTGTTTTCTTGGAAGGACGGCCGGCAAAGAACTGGACTGTATCGGGAAAGCTAAGGTCGACGGCTATGATCCCTGAGCCATTCATGGTATACATTTCCCCAACGCTTGAACTCGCAAGTGCTGCTGTAGTCGAGGTGGTGGTGGTGGATGGATACAAAAAAAAGTGATAGGTAAAAGAGAAGAAAAGAAAGATGGGATATACGCGTGTGTATTGACGAGTTAATAGTAATAACAGCAGTGGAGCTATCCGAATGTAGTACCAGTGTCACACCGCTGCAATTCATATACGACTTGATCGAGAGCGAGAGAGAGAGAGAGAGCAACGCACATACACACACTCTCTCTATTCCGCTTTATACTCACCACAATCTTCTTCTCTTCCCCACATACATAACATCATCCTCAAACGTTTACATTTGTACATTCACCACCATTAAAATACAACGCTTTTATTCTTAAAGAGTAATCGATCACTCTTCAACATGATGCTTTGGATATTCTATTATTGGCGATGATACGTACACACCCCACCCATCCACCGAAGAATGCCGCCGTCCTTTTGTGTAACAGCTTTGTGTGATACATGGAGAGTACTCAATACCCGAAACTTGATCCATCTATGCCATGTGCGTCCCATGATTAGAAAAAGTAGCTTATCCATCAAGCTAGAATAAAAAGGGGGAAGTCTACTGTACATCCATGCAACTTACAATCATGAATGAAGCCATGACAAATATAGAATGTCTTAGTGTGATACCCATTCATCCTCATTTTCAACATCTTCTTCATCAGAGTGACGAGTGTATAGCAGTGTATCTATGATAGCAAGGATGAAAGATAAACGCCCATGCATGAGAGAAAGAGGAAGGAGGCGGTGGATGAGGAGAAGGCATCATCGGCAGTGGATTTAAACAATGCTGCAACAACAGGACAACGAAATGCATTTTCCTTTCTTCTCATTGCTCTCTTTTTCGACGGCTGCTGCAGTTCTTCTTCCCCTGCACTTGATCAACAACAATGACCATTTCTCAAGCAACAGCGTCTTCTTCACCAAAGAGACATGGACCCCACTATGACACCAACAGCTCTTTTAAAGATGATCCATTACTACTTGTCGACGACCGGGGGCTGTCATCATCATCATCATTATTATCAATCGCAAAGCAACAACATCACCCATTCCATCATGGGAGTGCTGCTGCTGATAACCAGCCTACAGTGCTTGACACAAAAGATGAAAGTAGTCCACCACCTAGCGTACAGGCTAATGGTATCACCATGGCCAAGCAACAACAACATGACGACAATGAAAATGAACGGCACCAACAGCAAGCGAGTATTCAAGATAAAGGTAGTAGTAGAGTACACCCCTGTACCTGCAGGAGAAGAAAAAACTCACCAACAAGCTCAAGTAGATAATAGCATCGTTTTGCCAGCAAGTCGACATGCTACTGACACGACAATGACAGCCCCGTATAATACTCAGATTAACCCATCTCCTTGTTCGCCTCAATTGACGACGACGACGACATGGAAAAATACAGCACTTTTACAGGAGGATGATGACGAGGATGAGGAAGAACAAGAAGCAACGCGTTTGGTGTCCCCGATACAAAAAACGACCCGTGATGTGTTTACGGAAGCACAAAAAGTAGCCTTTGTGGGTCTATGTGCTGTTACAAGTCTCGAAATCGTTCATAGTTTCCATGGCAACGAATACGCATACGCACGTATGAGTGCGGACAACTGGCAAAGAAAGCTTATGCGTGATATTTACAAGCACATGGATGTTTCTTCCACAGGTATGTATATCCAAACATGGCTGCAAGGCCACTGATTTATTTACAAACAATGGCGTAATATAGAGATCGGCATGATTGAGGATCTTTTCAAACATGGTATCCAAGCGGCTGATTTGGTACTCCAATTCATGGCTCAAGGTGAAACCACCACGGTCCAAGTCCACCAACTTGATGATGATGATGACGATTCCACTTTTACCAATGATGATGGCAGCAGCAGCAGCAGCACTACATCCTTATCCTTTTTCACACCACCCCTTTCACCATCCACGTCTTCATCAGCAGCAGCAACAACAACAACACCCTCGATGGATGATGATGATGATCCTACAACGACCCCAACAACACATGACACAGTAGAACTTGACCTACGATGGACCGTCATGTGTAGCTTGTTGCTCTTGTTTCTCAATGCTGAAAACTTTGATGCACGTACACGCGTCTTTTTATCACGCACAGCATCCTATTTACAATTGGATTGGCGTGAGACATTGATGATGGAACAATGGATCTCGGATCAATTTATTGGACAACAGCAACAATGTTGTGAGGATGATGATGATGATGATAAACCTGTAACCATGACAACAACAACAACAGCCAATGACTTTTTCGCTCTCCCTGTGGCCAATGTTAAGGAAAAGCGATACCGTAATCGTGAACGTAGAATGCATCGATATGCCATGATTGGTCTTGCTACAGTGGGTGGTGGCTTGATCCTTGGTGTAAGTGCTGGTTTAATGTCACCCTTGATTGCTGGTGGCATCGGCACACTTTTATCCACAGTCGGCGTTTCTGGTGCTGGTAGCTTTTTCGGTAGCACCGCAGGTATTGCCATGATTACGGGTAGCATGACAAGCATTGGAGGTGGTAAGTCTTTATTGGTGGAGGGCTATTATAGTTATCATTCGCTAATATGGATGCTTGGTGATGATCTACTCTATGTATTGAAAAGGTCTTGGAGGTAAAAAGTGATACCGCATTTGTACATAACACCGTGCTTACTTCATAGGGTTGCGTATGTAGCAAAGAGCATGAAAAGAAGAATGAAGACAATCAACACCTTTGAATTTCAGCCTGTGGCCACTAATGGTCATCCAAGTTGCATTATTACTGTATCGGGGTAAGTAAAGTAGACATCAATGATGCCCTGCTGCTGCTATTGATGCCTGTAAACAACATGTTGTAGATGGCTGCCAAAAAAGTGTGATAGGAATTCAGCAGCCGCTTTACCATTTAGTACGCTTGATCCACTTTTGGGAGATCATTATGCACTTCATTGGGAACCAGAGATGCTACAAGATTTGGGGAGTGCCTTCAAAATATTTGCAACGGAGGTAGTGGCGTTCTCGATTCAGCAAGCATTGACGCACACCATTATGGGTGCCCTTTTGGCAGGATTGGCATGGCCACTCGCTCTAACCAAGCTTGGCTATCTTGTGGATAATCCATGGCATAATGGATTGGATCGTGCACGATTGGCAGGTTTGATTCTTGCCGATTCTCTCATGAACCGCAACTTGGGTGCTAGGCCAGTGACCTTGGTGGGATATTCACTTGGTGCACGTGTGATCTTTTACTGCCTCTTGGAATTGGCTCGGGTCAATGCGCACGGTCTTGTAGATAATGTTGCATTGTTTGGTACCCCTGTTAGTGCATCCCAATCACAATGGGAAGCATGCATCTCGGTGGTGGCAGGGCGCTTTGTCAATGGCTACTCAAAAAATGACTGGTTACTTGGATTTTTGTTTCGTGCATCTACCGCTGGTCTTAACAATGTTGCCGGTCTACGTCCCTTGAAATCAACAGCTGCTGCACAAAAAGACAAGGAACGTGTCTTGAATATCGATTGCACTGATATCCTCAAAGGTCATTTGAGTTATCGTACTTGCATGCCCAAACTTCTTAAACGTGCAGGATTTCTCGTCACCTCTGAAGAATTACCGGATCGCGTCAAGGCGTCGGAAGAAGAAGAGAATAATAGCGATCATGTTGTGTTGGATCTTTCAGGTGCTAAGGTTTGTATATGCATAGTACGAAACTTCACGTCACTTACTTTGCATGTACCATATACAGGAATTGGAACATTTCAAACCATCCACCAAAACCAATCGACATTCATTTGTGTCATCCTTATCATCTGGCAGGGCTTCCATACAATATCCCCCGCCAAAAACACAATGCACTCCACACCCACTATCTCTACAAAAGCGTCCCAATAGCATCATCGCATCAACAACACCTTCATTGTCTTTTGGACAAAGCTCTCCATCATTGGATGATGTCGATCCAACAACGCCTGCATTCGATGCTGATACCATCTTGGCCGATATCATGGCAGAAGCAGCATTAGCTTCTAAATCCCCAGGAAAATATAGTTCGCTTTCAATGGGACGTGCATCGATTTCATTGGAATCATCATCAACAACGCAAGACAACAATGACGATGACTACCACAGACGTCATTCATGGCCCGTTTCACTCAATAATACTAACTCGGTGGTGCTATCACCACGATCTAAATGATCATGGTGCTTTTTGAATTGTAACCATGCTTCTCAAGAACACAAAAGTAATCATCCACAAAAGCAGTATTATATTATAGTATAGTAATAAAGATTCTCCCTAATGCTCCTACTAATCCTCATGGTATGCTCTTTGACGTATTGTATGCAACATGGTAATCGAAATGATTTATTTGAGTAAACAAGTATGTATGCTTAGTTCTGGTTATTGTTGTTATTGTTGCCGCCCTCGTTGTTTCCACCCATAAATTGGCGTGCGCTGATAAGGAACGAGGATGTCAGTATTGCTGCTGTCAACAAGGTGATCAAAGATACTCACAGGTTCATCATTTCAGGATTTTGCATCATTTCGGCAAGGTTGGGACCACCGCCACCAGAGCCACCGTTGTTACCCATCATTTGTTGAGCCCTAGTGTTCATCGTATTACTACCTCTATCCTTTTCCTCGCTGTTGACTTTTGTAACTTACATTCTTGCGACATTGGGGTTGTTCATGAGTTGATCCAAAGCACCAGATTGCATCATTTGTTGAGCCATGTTCATCAAAGCAGGGTTATTCAACAAGGAACCAAGATCGGGCATACCACCAGCGCCTGCACCAGCGCCTGCATCTGAACCACCACCAACAGATCGATCCACACTTCCAATCTTTGCCTTGGCAGTAGCGAGAGATTGCTTGATGGTGGCATTCTCGGGATCCAATTGAAGGCCCTTTTCATAGGCATCGACAGCTTCTTGATATTTTTGTTGACAGAACAAAGCATGGCTATCCCATAGAAATGTAAGATAATACCCCTCTTTGTTTCCCAGTGATGATCTCCACTACTACGATTAGTACTTACCCAAGACGGCTGTAACCCTTGCTATACTTGGGATCCACTTCAAGAGCCTTGGTGGCATCCTCCACGGCCTTTTCGTAATCGCCTTGTTGGCTATATGCAGCAGCACTATAGAAGTAAAAACCGAGCGTTGAGCGGATCACATTCACTACCTCTGAATTAACCCATGAGAGCATTTACCGGTTGCCATAGTACACTGCTTGATTGGGGTTCAACTTGATGGCTTCGGAATAGAGCTTGATAGCTTCAGGATAGTTGCGCTCTGACACTTTGCGGTTACCAGCACCCTTGAGCTCCTCAGCCTTTTGCTTATCCTCATCCGACACAGCCTATACAATTGGGTCAAGACATGTTGAATGATAAAGATAAATTTTAGATGCGCCTTACGGATGCTAAGAAAGAAAGAAAAAGGAACGTCAATCCAATGACATGGGCATATCATTCATGCATACAAACGTACCAGATGGAGCAGATGTTGAAGATGATGAGGCAGCAGCAGTATCAGTTGGCTTTTAATGTACACGCGTGTGTGTTAGTATCAACATGGTCGTCATCTTTATCCATATGCCCACCCCCATGAACAGCTGTACCTGAGCAGGACCACGCGACTTGGCCTTGGTCTTCAAGTAGATTTCAAAGATATTCAATAGGTTGGCAGGCTTTGTGCTGTATGCTTCTTGCTGAGCAGGATCGCTGGGATCGACACTGAAAGCTTCACCAATGCATTGCATGGCCACTGTACATCTTGTTCAGTGTCTCGCTTTTCTTGTGGGGGGGTCATTTATCAAAAGGAGTATGTATACTGCACCTTCAATGCCTTCAACGTCGTCTTGACCAATAGTGCCATCGTCACAGGATTTCTTGAGGAATTCGAGGATTGAATAAACGAGAGCTTTCTTATTCTCAGTAGCCATTGTGTAAAATAAGATAAAGAAGGTGCGAGAAACGGCGAGCGTGCGTGATTCGAGTCCCTCCTCCTCTTCTACCCAACCCAAATGAACCCCCGCTGGCAGTGTTGTCTTTATCATCCATTCCCCCATCCCCTTCAACTTGTACTTGATGGCGTCAGTGATCGTCATATTGGGAAGCGTGTTTACGATGAGATTGATCGAACGCATGGCTATCGTGTAACTTTGTACAATAATGATTCAATAAAGATACATCCTTTTCTATTCAATTTTGAACGAGCTATCATTATAAAACTTTGCCATATGTAGTCATGAAATAGAAACGTCTTTGTCAAAGATAACGCATCTTGTTTATTTGTAAATCGATGGTGGTAACGCAGCGACATGCATCGTTATGGGCGTGTGAGTATCTATATGCATATGCACATGTATCCTGGTCGACGAGAGTGTGTGTGGTTCGCCACCACCATGAAGGTTGGCGGATCAAATCACATGATTGGCTGTTCTCTTTTGTACACCTTCCCTCAATTTTGGCAGAAGATTTATCTGTTCTCTTGTCTCCGCTTGACACAGTGTCAACATTGGTACATGGTCGAAGAATGCAGCGTGTTGCCAGCGATCTCGGGTTACCGATCGTCTCGGCGACTCACTGTCAAGGAATGTGAACCCCAGGTAAGGCATGGGAGCCATCGAGTGACCCTTGACGGCAATGTCAACCAATCGCATACCTTTTTTCTATCCATGGCACTTGACTGATCTATGTCATAGGCACGCAATATCCTTAACAATATACCAGAGTTGCTGTGGACACCTTCAGGAGATGAAAAGAGTGAATGGGAAGAGGTATGGGATACTACGTTGATGATGATGATGATGATGCCTTCCATGTGTCACTAATCAACTTGCCCTTCTATAAGCCCGTCGAAGTAGCAGACGATGATGAAATGGCGAATGCTGAAACAAAGTCATGGAAACGTGTACGTATTCTGGCAGATAGGACAAGGGTGGACTTTTTGCTCACGATTTGGATGTTTAGTTATGGAAGACGCTCCGTAGCGAACATTCAGCATGTTTATTTCCAGAGATCCAAAAGCTTGTTTCATCAGAAATCAGTCGCAAGAAGAAGCTTGAGCGATACGACCCATTCAAAGGCAACATGGTGGCAGTATCGAGGATGCCTCTGAAAAGGAAGGTGACCCAAGATGACAATGTATTGACAGTCATTGGCTTTGCTGCTGGTGAGAACGCGTCAAAACTATGTAAGTATCCTTATCATTCGGATTCAAAGGGGAAGGTTGATTAACCCAATGATTAGGCACGTTCTTTGTCGACACGCAAAAGGATATCAAATCGCATGCAAGAGGGGATACTGGTGGTCTTCCTGTTGGCCCTGTGATAGCGAGCTGCACTTTGAATCTTCGATACCCGATTCGGCAAATTTGTATCATGCATGGACACACCAAAGATCGTGCACCTGACGCTGCGGCAAAGTATCCATTGATTATGGGTGTGCGTACTCATTGCAGCACCGTTCTCGTACATGTGCAAATATATCACAACAACAACAAAGAGCAACACGCTGAACAGCCCACAGCCTACCACATCATCATGGAGACGCTTCACGAACATGTACCAGCCAATTATGGAACGCTCGAGTTCTCACCGGGATTACCAACAGCCATGTGTCTCAGCCCTTTCAACGAGTCCGAATACGCAATGATAACAGAGAATGGTTATTTATCAATATTTGATGTTCGAAAGTCAAAGGAGTATGTATATATAGGGTGTTCTTGTATTGGGTATTAGAGGCTCATTTACATCATCGTAGTGATAACGACAGGTCCTTGGTTGCAGCATATCACTTGACTGAAAACACCGACTCGACATGGCGTTCGATATCGTTTGTCAATGATTCCAGAAAATTGCTGGTGGCTTCATCACAAAATGTGCATCTGGTCAATCTAAAGGTAACATGAGCAATGTTGGGATAAAGACATTGGGTCTAACACAAGTGGTTATTTAGATGGTACAAAGCCATGTCTTGTATAAAACGCCAATCGATGATCGCATCTACACCATGTCAGTGCCTTGGGGTCGCAATGAGTACCTGTATTGGATATCGACTTCTCGAGACATTCTCTTACTTGACATCCGGGAGCCAATGATACCGATCACGTGTCAGCCGCATTATATGGAATACTCGCCTCCAATCTATTCGCAATTAGTTGCTGGGACTACGCATGGTGAGTTTGATTGCTTGTGGGAGGATAAAATACATGATGGATGGCTAACCAGCTATGTGAGAGCAGACTTCCTCTTTTTGTGGTCGAGCCTGTATGATCATGTTATATGTGCCAAATACCAACGAAGTCATAACACATTAACAAAGTATGTTGCAAAACACAATCCCTGCTATACACGTATGCTGATACATTTATTTTATACTAGTGAGGACCTGAGCTCTCCCACCTTGTCGAGTTTATTTGAGGTGATACAATCAATTCCGATCGAGGAGGTACATTCTTTCTACCAAGGCGAAGTGAATGTCATCCCAACCACTGGGTTTTATGCCGTTTTTTCCTCATCTTCCACCATTGATGATGATACTGGAGAATCAAGGGATGTTGATACGTTCATCTACTTTCGACTCTTGCAAGATGGAAGTATTCGGACCCTGGTTTTTTCTGAACAACAAGGCGAATGGACTAAATATCAAAAAGTTGGATGGAAATTGGACAATGATGCATTGCCTGCAGATGTACGGCATACGAACAGGCTGATCTCTATCAAATCCACTGGTGACTTGGCTGGTGGTCTCCTCAATGGTATGATCATGCATTTTTAAATATGTATATGGAGATCACTAACATATACTTTTTTCCATATCCTTATAGAAGTCGTGGATGGTATCCGATCCAACAAGCAGCTAGCATCAAGTATCCCATCCCTACGTACCCAATTGGAGAAGAATGCGTCTTCAACTATACCCCTTACATTGTACGTTAAGATGGCTCATTGTCGATTGCTTCTTTGGCACTAACATTGGTCTTTCTAGTAATGAACTGCTTAATGAAGAAGGATTGGATGCAAGCGTTTGTGAACTACTTGACGAGATGTCTTTGGAAGAGAAGCGTATTGAATGCACGAATCGTCACATACGGCAAAGCACGGTGCCATCGATAGGTGCTGAATCAGGTATGAAAACAATCCACATGATGAAGATTCATTTTCTAACAGAGAGGGCATTCATTAGAAATGACAAGCGTTGGAAGAGTGATCAAATCATCGCTGTTGACCTATTTCCCTGAACCTGATTTTGCATCTGAAACGTCTTTACGCTATATCCAACCTGCCAACGACACGTTCAAGTTAACACCAACAACCAAGTACATGGCGACTGAATGGCAACCGGGATTACCAGCCGATGCACCTATCGTATTTGACTCTCAAGCAACCGAATACAATCCAAGAACCGCCAAATTTTTGCCTTTCCACTACAAAGAACCTGAAAAGAACATACCACCATCACGAAGGAAACGACTTTCTTTCAGCACACCTGATGATGATTCAAGCCAACCACCATACAAAAAGCATCATATCCCTTCGCAACCACAAGACACTTTTTCATCTGACACTATCGCATCACCCGTTAAAGCCATTGCCAGTCAACCTATTCCTGGAGCCTTTGCTAATCGGCAACCCATCAAAAAGAAAAAGAAAGCACGGGCAAAGGGTTTCAAATAGCATTGTATTATTAGCATTGTCATTTTCGACTTTTATTCGTAAATATTGTACATTTTCATATGCATGGGAATTGTGGATGGATGAATGGATGAATGGGTTGGGTGTGTGTTTACAGATAGGTGTGTGTTTGTGTATTGATGCCTCGAAGATAAGTCCAACCTAAGGACATGGCGATGCGAAAATTTGATGTTGCTATGCCTTGTTTCACCAATGCCTTGATGAAGTCGTAATCATTGTTGTAAAAAGGTGCAAGTTCAGCGAGTCGTTCGTAATGATGCTTTTGGTAAAATCCTGGTCGAGAAAGACAGAGCACTGTGCCTGGTCCCTTATAAGTGCCGTGGACATCCTTATGATCAAAGCCGATGGTAACATGGAAGAAAGCAGGTCCTAATCCAAGCCGATCTCGTATACGATGACCAAATGGCCAATGCAAGACGTGGTAATATGCCTTTGTATCATTGTGTTCAGCATAAGCCAATCCTAGATCTTCAGGTGGGTCCCATAAGTTGGCATCGCCAAATTCCCGCAAAATATGATCCACAAGTGCACGGACGAGATGATACTTTTTCTTCTTGTTGTATTCGATGCCTATGGCTTCCAACGCGCGTGGTAACTCTGTTGGATTGATAATAGTAACGTGGTGCCAGGGATGCCCATCGCGCTCGATACGGTTCTGGACATAATGAGGTGGTATAACATCCATAGGCTGCTCCTGATGCGTGATCGCTTCAATCGCTGTTCCTTCTAATGACACATAGGCATATCCCGCTTTCAAGGCCAAAGGTGCATCCGTCATTGAATGGTCCTTACGCGATCCCGATTGCTGCTTGTGGTCGGTTGTTTCCTTTGCTGCAGCTCGTTTCCTTTTGCCCATGACGGTGTGTGTGAACGCAGGAAAAAAGAGGAGATAATGTTTATATACTGCGGCCGTTGTATCACGGGACCTTTATCCACCTACTTTCAGTCAACATGTGTCATCATGGTCGTTATGATTCCCAATCCATCCATATGTTCTTTTTCATTCTTCCCTTGCCAATTGTTATGGACATAATAAAGCTGGACCTTGTGTTTGATTGGATATGAGCAGACCACTTGATATTTGTTGCATGCTATCTACCACAGCACTAATCACAAAAAGTGGGAGGCGAGTTATACTCTTAAATGCAGCCTTTGTTCAAGAACAATGAATCAATCAGACACTTTCTCTTTCTCTCTTTTCCCTTTATCACAGCGTTCACAAGTGGGTATACTTCTACGATCCTGCATAAACCTTTCTACAATACAATGCATCAAGTACCTATACACTTTAAAGTCCAACTCAGGGAAAAGGACGTCTTCTTGCACTATTGAATCGTATAACTGGTTGGCCAATGCAAACCAGTATCCGCTAAAGTAACCCTGCAATCCAACGCCATTCTCAAGATTTAGGCTGGACATGAATGATAGTACAATACATCACATACTCTAATGGGAGTTACATGTGAATGGATGGATGTGAGGTGGCGCCTGATGCGTTGTGGGATTATAGGCATAGCATGCGTTGGATGATGACGATTGTATGGTTGACAGGTTGTACAAAGAGCAATGGTAGTGGTTGCCATGGGATAGCGTGTTAGGTACAATAATTGGATCCATCAAGGACAATGGATACAAAAGAACGAGACCCTTTTTCCACGCATTGTGTTTATCCAATTCCTTCCATCCCATCTTCCCAAAATCATATCATATGCATCTCCATAGGCGTTTGTTCGTCATAATGCAAAATAAACCAGTTTTTTAATGGCGGAAGACTGTGAGCGTGACCATCAGGCTTTTGAAGTGGTGTTTGAAATTTAGGGACCCGTGAGCAGTACTGCTCAACTGCGCTACGATACAACTCCGCAAAAAGCCACCATCAAAAAGTTATAAAAGGAGGGCAAACTTGGGTAACTCGTTTTTTCTTTAGGACCGTACTCTACAGGATCTGTATGCAGTACATAACCAGTCTACGTTTTATAAACTAGACACAGTTTCCGAGTCAGACGATGACCTGTGATAGCCCTTTCTAAGAGTGAAGTGTGCTTGTGGATGTTTGCCCGTTTGGGCCGCCATGAGCAGTTGATGATCTCGCCCGTTTCCTTTTTCCATGGACGTGGCAAGGAAGAGGCTATGGTCTGATGGCTTAACCCCCCAATTCAAAAAGAAAATGATAATTGTAAATGGTGTTGGTGTAAAAGCTTTCATTGTGCTGATGTATGAAAAAATTTTGCACCTTGTTGGGAAGCACGCACAATGAACGCTGACCCTCTTTAAAAAAACATCCATACACTTTTGTACTTGAAATGCTTATGGGTGGAAATTTTTCACCAAACCAAACCAACAGTGAAGACTGACCTAAACCACCATCCGCTGGTTGCCATGCAACGAGAAAGACATCCATCCGCAAGCACTATTGGCTTATAAACATTCCATCACTGCTGCCAACGTTTCCTTCTATCTTGGTAGGCCTATTTGCATAATCAACGCTAGATGCGGGAGAACGTAACACTTGACGACGCTATATTTATTCGTCTCAAACGTGCATGAACATTTAAGATGATATCACACTTCTATCTATACACCAACTAGTTTACAAGAACGGACCAAGGGTGCTCAACCTCACCATATTGGATATCCATAATGGCCTTGTTAATGCGCTTGGTGATAGGACCAGCCTGGGATGTCGAGTCGTTGGGATCCAAGGGAATATTGAGCTCCTAGAATACACAACAACGTTAGATAATGGTTATGCAAACTATCCATTTCACACATTACCTCGCCCTGGTATTCAATCATCTTGACGGGGCTCACAATACAAGCAGTGCCTGCACCAAAGACTTCCTTAACACGGTTCTCCTTGACAGCATCACGAAGCTCAGGCATAGTCAACTTGCGTTCTGAGACCTTGAATTCTCCCCATTCACGAGCAAGGCTCAAGATAGAATCACGGGTGACACCAGGAAGAATGGCACCATCCAAAGGAGGAGTAACCAATTCAGTCTCACCTTGAGCATTCTTCCACAAGATAAACAAGTTCATGGCACCCACTTCGGTCAACTGGTGATCATCTATGTTTGGCCATTGAATACATATACATCACGTGCTCCTCTCTTTTTGTAGTAACTTACCACCAAAGAGCCACAAGTTTTGTTGGAAACCCTTCTTGGCTGCAAGAAGTTGAGGCAAAAGACCTATAAAAGATTGCGTGATTAAGGATGTGATTCATGTATGTACATCACACACACACTTACCAACAGCATAGTTGCCACCAATCTTGGAATCACCGGTACCACGTGGCCAAGCACGTACGTATTCAGTGGTAGCCTTGAGAGAAACAGCGGCAAAGCCAGTCTTGTAGTAAGGACCCACAGGGGAACCAATGACGAAAAGTAAAGCCTTGTTGGGAGCTGTGACACCAAGAGTAGGCTGGGTGCCGATCATTGTGGGACGCAAGTACAAAGAATAACCACGCTCATTGGGAATCCAGCGTTGATCAAGCTTGAGATATTCGCTGATCACTTTGAGAAACTCTTCGCCTTCAAAGTTCTAAGTTTTCCCACGCGTCAAAAATGACATCCATTTGTACCATCCCAATCCTTGGTTCATTCAAACTTACAGGAAGAGCAATACGATGAGCTGAACGGTTCATACGTGCCATGTTCATATCAGGTCGGAAGAGACGAATCTTGCCATCCTTGTCCTTGTAAGCCTTCATGCCTTCAAAGCACTAAGTTGTTACACGTATGAGTAAAAATGATTACCCGGCAAAAAACCAAAGAAAACCCACTTACCTCAGCAGCATAATGGAAAACAGTGGCAGAAGGATCCAAGCAAAGCTTGCCATGAGGAACAATCTCTGGTGCATCCCATCCCTTATCAGCATTCCACTCAATAGTAACCCTAAAGATGTCAAGTCAAATGTTGAGTCATTGATACAAAGGAAAATACATGAAGCCATATCAATTACATGTGGTCGGTGAATGTTTGGCCAAACACAAGGTCCTGGTTAGGCACCAAAGGCTTCAAGGTATCGGCCTTGTTGATCTTGAGAGCGCTTGCCTGTATACGTTGAATGGGGGATCATAAATGAGTCACTCCCGCAGTCGACAGGAATGCAATTGAATGAGCATTACCTGAAGACCAGCAGCGGTACTGTTCCAGCGTTTCAAAGGTTGAGTGAACTTGGTAGCAAGCCATTGCTGGCGTAACATGCGCGTGGCGGACATGGTCAAGTTGTGTGTGTATGTGGGTGGGTGTTAAAGAGAGCAATTGAAAGACCTGCAGCTGCACAAACGACATCTCATTAAAAGCGGAGATTGTTTGTCATCATGACTCCCCCCACACACATAGTTTGATAAGCACATCATCTATGTCTTTGATCTTAGCAACAACCTACCCTATAAAAACCTCCCCATGATGGTACATAGTCATCAATAACTTGTGCATCATCATCATTCCACATATGTACTTCAATTAAGAAAAGGGCTATTATACAAGATGTACCTATCAAGGCGGCTGATGCCATCTCGGCCGAAAAGCCGGCATCAAGCGTGCGAAAATTACTGTTTGTGGCAATCCGTAACAGTTAAGCTTTTTTCGCCTTCTATGCATTACTTTGCAAACATTTGGATGTGTCTATGTAAATATTTTTCTTTTTTATAATTTCTAATAGAGGAACCAAAACGAAAGCAAATGGGTGCGATAGGGTGGTGGTAATGGAATGTTGGTTGGTGGATGATGGTGGTGTGGGGAATGTGTTTTGTAATCACTGTGAGTGGGTGTTTTTCTTTTTCTATTGACCTGCAATGTAATTATTTTTAGGATGGGGGATGTTGAGAGGGAGGAGGAGGAGGTGTCAATCGAGCGGAAACTGGGGTAGATGTTGCTGGAGTGTTTGCTCCCGTTGACGCGATAGAGATGCTCTGGCCAGCCAGCTTTTTGCCCTTTAGCATGTTCTTGAGAGCTCTTAATGCAAAAACTGTCAAGCCAATTCCAGCCCAGTCTTCATCATGCAAGTCTCGTAAATCTCCCACGGTCATGATATCTTGATTCTTGAGCTTGTTGATCCATTCATGCGCCTTTTCAAGATCACGATGCGATGCAGTGGCACAATCACGAACAAACACCTCGATATCCGTGTCATCAGCGTATTCTATACAATGCCCATGATGAGTACATTTGCCCACCCTACCAATATCCAAACCCATCCATCATGCTTACCTTCAAGAATACGCGAAACCAATGCATCACGAGCAGCAGGTAAATCCGAAGGTGTTTCATAGTTGGCCATCAATCCTTCACCACCATGTGCCGACTTGATTGCCTCCATTTCAGCCTTGACTTCTCGCAAATTACGTACAGCATCACGATATCGTGTCTCTGCCGAATGCGCCATGTTCTCATACTCATCGCATTTGGATTCGACTTCACGCACATGTTCACTCGTCCTTTCCAATTCCAATCGCACACGCTCAAGCTCTTCTCGCATGTCATTTGCTTCGGTATCCCTACGCCATATCGACTGACGAGCCTTTTCCGCTTGTTCAGAATCAGTGGGCTTCTCCAAATCACGCAGTATTCGATTGATCTCCTTGGTGATGTGATGTTGATACCTTTCAGGAAGGACTTGTTCTTCAATCTACATCATCATAGCAGTAGTTTAATAACTCTATCCTTACACGTTTGGTATATACATATATACACTCACCATTTCACGCACAACTTGTTCAGCTGTATCCGTTTCCACGTTGAAATCAAACTTGACAGAGAGCTTATCCAACCCCTTAAAGACCACTTGCAAGGTCAAGTGCACATGAGTCGCATCGGCAGCCAACAATACCACATCGGGCTCAACCGCCAAGAAAGAATGCTCAAGTATCTCTTTTGCAGAAAGTCTGGTTTCAAACAATACATGAGATCCTCAAATGCATACTCATAATTGAAATTCATTTACCGGTCATCTTCTGGGCCCAGGCAATTTTCAATGATGCTCAAGACTTCAGGATTTTGCACCTTTTGCAAGCATACAGGTTTCACACCCTATGTAGTAATAATACATTAGCATGCTATCAATGCTAAAAAAAGAGGATGTATATACATACCGCTGACACCTTTTTATATACTTGAGCGGGATTCCTGCATTCACCATAAGGGTATTCACCAGTGGCCATTTCCAACAAGCACATACCAAATGCATAGATATCCACCCTTTCACTGTATCCTTGCTCCTCGTACATTTCAGGCGCCATGAATTCGGGTGTACCAATGATGGTGTATCGTTGACCCATTTTCATCTCGGCAGTACCCATGTCACCAATCTTGATTTCACCATGCGCACCATTGATAAAGATATTGTCGCATTTGATGTCACGATGAATGATGGGTGGGTTGTATCCATGGAGATAGGCGAGACCTTTGAGGATTTGGCGTGACCATCGCTTAACAATCTTGTTGTTGGGCAAGCTCAACTTTCGAATGTATTCTCGCAAAGTGCCGGATGTCATGAGCTCGGTGATGAAAACAAACTCGTTCTTTTGATACCAGGCGTCGTGAAAGGCAATGATGTTGGGATGGCGAACTGATTTCAAGATTTCAATCTCATGTTCCAGATCCTTAGGAGCAGACTAATGGCATTACTTAGTAATCAATCCTCAACGCACACATACACACATACTACTACCACCGTCATCCTCTATCCACTCTCCTTACCTGCATCGTATTCCATGCTACTTCATATCCTTCCTCACGATCAATGGCCTTATAGACCACCTTGTAAGCACCCTTGCCAAGTAGGGTATTAAGGCGTACATAACGCTGGTTCTTGGAGACTTCAACGACCTGCTCAGAGTCATGGGATCGAGACTGATCGATGATCTCGTTGGTATGTGAAAGACCTCCTCCCATTTGGTCTGCTGGATTGGCTGATAGACTAGGCTTTGGGTACGCGCTCGTAAACGGGACTCGATCGTCGTCATTGGGCGGTGCATCACCTATTGAAGCAAGAGGCGAGTAATAGTTTCGAAAACCATCAGCATCGTCCTCTTGCGAGTTGTCTGCAAGGCTGAATGTCACGTGTTGTTGAGAAGAATCTGCCATGGGCGGTCGAGATGGGTAAGCGTATTATATGATGAGCTGATGTGTGTGTGTATCTTTGGGAGCAAAAGGCTGCTTGCTTGCTGCTGCTGCTGTTATAGAGAGTATTTGAACAAGGTGCCTGACTGGAAAAGAAGCCAGACAAAGTGTGTGGAGTCGAAAAGAACGCCACGAAGGATATCGAAGCAAGTTGTCCACAGAGAGTGTGTGTGTTGTCGAAAGTGGAATAAGTTGACGAACAAGGCGTTGTTTCCTTGAACAGTGCAAAACTTTGCCCTCATTTGCCATTGGATCTTCTGAGTTTCCCTGTGATTCAATCCAAATATCCCGGTGGCTGATCACCTGGCAACCATCACATCACCTACATGGATACCCCATATCAACTTTATACGTTTACATAGCAACAATGGAAAACGATGCCAAACATTTAGTTGTCAATAAACGATTTCTTTCCATGATATGACTTTAAAAGTCGAATGTGAGAAAATGACATGGCTAAAAGAAAGCTGAGAATTCCCCTCCCCCAATCCCCCCTAGGCCTTCTGTTCATTGTTCTCTCCCCCCACTTACACGCACAACTCAAGCACTTGATGACGAATGGGATGTTGCCCTCTTTATCAGAGTCATGGTTGCACAAACTTGTCTTATTCTGGAGATGCCTGTGACAAGATCATCTTCCATGATACGGCCGTGTCGTCGGTGTAGCTTTGTGAGTCAATGCAAAATGATAGGTACATTCACTCCGCAGGAGAATGATCATCCTCCTCCCCCTTAACTTGCGCCTAAAAACCAAGTGCGCGCAGTTGTCGATGTTGTTTTTGTTGTTGTTGTTGTTGTTGTTCTTGGTGTTGGTGATCATTCATATTCTCTTTTAGGATATCGCAGTGAGACCATGCGTGGGGGTCAATACACCACATCTTAAAGTGCCATCATCGATGATAATGGTGGTGGGTAAAGGAATCCCATGTGACTCAGCAGTATCCGGTTTTAGCTTTCCTGTGTGTCGATGTTGTCCAACGCCCATCCTCTCTTTCCAACTTTTTACACTTGATCCTATTATACTTGTAACTCGGGTCCATTTACACACACACACACACACACCACGCCTACTATACATACACACACACCACATACACATGTCTATTTCTTCGCTCCATGTGCACACTGAAAGCGATGCTATTCACCTCTACACGGGAGAGAATATGATACCAAACTCATCCTATGTCTTGCGAGGGCACGTGGAGCTTAACGTGCGACGACCGGTGCGGATTCGTCAGATCAGTGTGCAATTTAAAGGCACCGTTCATAATGTTATATCCAACGAACTTATTCAACATCATCAAGACATATCAGCCAATAGCGATTTTTGGCCCATCACCATCGTCTCAAAGCAAAGCACCGCCATCTTTGAACGCATGAGTCGATTTGCTGTCAGCACAGCACTTGGTTATGCCCTTTCGAATCAAAAGATTGTTCGTGAACGAGTGGATTTATTACCATCACCACCATCAGCCGATGCAGCTACCACCGCACGTATCGAACCAGGTGTATCTCGATGGCCCTTTGCTATTGAAATCGATCATCCAGAACAGCTCTTGCCATCATTGCTCTTACCGCGACATACCATCCGCTATGATTTAATTGTACATGTGCAGCTAGCCTCCTTACGTGACAAAATCACACAACGTAAGCTGCGGATCACCAAGCCTATCCATGTGTTGTGTCACGCCTATCCCAGTTTGCATATTCTTGACTTTCAACCACGCGTGCGATATCGAGGTTGCCGCGAAGGTCACATGCGATACGAAGTTTCCATGGTCAAATTTGTCCCACTCAAGCAAAAGTTAAGGCTTGTGTGCCACTTTTTTCCATTGTGCCCCGAAGCACGTATATCTACAATCGCCATGCTCATTGAACAAAATGAGCTATTTCCGTAAGTTTTGGGGGACGAGATCATCTAACAATACAGTATCTGATACGCTCTACGATACGTAGATTACGCACCGGCAATATCAAAGAGCATGAAACCATCCCACCACACATGTATGTTTCAAAGACACACAAGCCGATAGGTATGTTGTTGGCATCTTTGTTTACTTTAAAAGAAAATGATGATGCATGATTGTTGTTATTGACCATCATCATCGGCAATCATTTTAGTGAAGGAATATGCGGTCAAAGATGACGATACGCTTGAATACCTTCCATTCGATCTGGACGTTGCATCGCCTTACATTGCTCAAGACGTTGATACGCAATCATTGAAAATCACCCACAAGATGCGGATCATTGTTTACTTTGCTGATTCTCAAGTGCGAAGGATGTCGCTTAGTTTTCCTTTGATTATCGGCACGATACCCTCACCTTATGGTGAATCCACAAACGGCATCCGATATTCAGTAAACGAAGACATTATGGGTGAAATGGAAGACGACGATGATAATGACTGGATCAGCATGATCGCTGCCGATACCAATTATCATCGACACCGGGATAGTGGATCGGCCATGGATGATGGCATCATGGAAAAATTACCCACTTACTATGATGTACTTCATGAAGGACCACCACCGGCTGCCTTTCTTGATGATGACTTATCCCATTATCCATCACCACACGCTTGAGTTGATGATTACCATCCAACCTGATACCTTTTTCTCTTCACCTGTAATTATTTTACCCCTTGTTGTTGTTTCTTCATTTGCGTGTAAATTATGTGCCACATCAGTGTACCCAATCCAAGAAAAAAAACGAATGCTCTCTCTCTCCTTGTTGACATAACAAGTTTGACCTCTTTGAGTGTGTGTGTGTGTGTATGATCACAAAGGAGAAGTTTATGGATTTTGGAGATGTATCTACTAAACTGCCATCATTTGCCATACTTGGCATACGTAGCTCCATCCTGGTCACAATTTATCAGATCGCCTATAGGAAATCATGCATGTGGCTTTAATGCATATCCCGAGGCTCGTCGCACGCACGCGGCTCAGCACCAACTGCTTTTGTCCACAAAGTACCACAACAAATACTCATCACGTGGTAATTGCTACTACTTAACAATGAATGCAGCACCATCAACCCCCTTATTGTTTGGCTCTTGATATTAAAAAAGAGGTCATATTGTCGATCCCAAATATTTTTATCACGGATGAAACATTGGAACAATAATGATGATGGTTTCTAAATACATGCCAATGACGAATGATGCTTATGGGAATGTGTGTGTGAAAGAGATGGTTGACCACCCAATAGATAAGTAATGCCGTTCATCCACCCATGTGTTACCGTTTATGCGCACAACGTGGCCAAACAATAAAGTCAACTTTGTGTTTCCATGTGAATAATATAGAGACAAGTAGTAGTTGTATCCAACATCAATCATTTGACAAAAGAAACAAACAATGCGTCGAATAGCGGACAAGGTTGATTGAACAAGTAATATTAAAAGTTGGGGATGAAGGAAAAAAGAAAGTTATGTAAGACATCGGTATATGTACTTGTAGCCACAAGAGTCGTGGATGGTTGTTGTTGCTGTTAACAATATAAGGTGCAAGATTTTGTGTGTGTTGTGTGTATATAAATGTGGGCGTGAGTGGTGGAAATCTTATCTGTATGGGTTGTAGCCGAATCGCCTGACTTCCTCACAACTCTTCATGGGCATGCGAAGTGCTTCTTGATATTGTTCCTCATTTCGGCCAATCCCAAAAATCCCACTTGCAGCGTTGAGACGAGCTGCTCTTTCTCGTCGTTCAATTTGACAGGAATGCTGTAATCCACGTACCCAATCCACCTCGACTTGTTGCTCGAGTCTTGCTAACTTGTATTGATCTCTGGCGGTTGTACGGAACGAAGATGGGTTGACATAGTAGGGTACTTGATGGCTGTAAGTCGTCCGTTGTTGAGAATACATGTTGGTAGGTTGGAATGAAAATGAAGGCGTGTCATCCGTAAACAATCCTGAAAGCAACGAGTAACCAAAAAGAACCAAGAGCGGGAGGATTTGTAACAATAAGGTCCAACTTGTATTACGTTGTTGTCGTGTTTGCTGTCCTCGGTGGCCGGCACCGGGATGATAATAACTACGCCGAGCAAATCCAGGTCCGACAAAGGTTGCACTGCCAAAGGGTCCTCCAAAACCTGCAGGTCCACCTCCACCAAAGAACATGTTGAATAGCTCTTCAGGCGATATCTCTTCTCCCATGCCACCACCAAATTGATGTGTACGGAATCCATGGAAACCAGGATGCATGCCACCGCCACCTCCCATACCACGTTGCTCCGGATCACCACCACCAGCATCATGAACAGCACGTTTCTGGGGATCTGAAAGTACTGTAAAAGCCTTGGAAATCACTACATCTTGAATTAGTTTCTCTCTTTCCTCAACTCGTATTCCCTTTTCTCTTCCTTACATTTGAAAGCCTCATCAGCTCCTGGTGCACTGTTCTTATCAGGATGGAATTGCAAAGCGAGCTATTGTAAACCAAAAGTTAGCAGCTATCCCACTACTACTTTTACCACTCATGTGTGCACACAACCCATACCTTTCGATATGACTTTTTGATCTGGACCTCGGTACAATCCTTCTCCAATGACAAGACTTTGTAATAATCAGTGCCACATGATAGAATCCTCTTGACTGCCTCGGCTTGTTCCTTGGTATGCTTTTTATCGGATGACGGTGTTGAGCTCGATGACGCTGTCTTTGTTGTTGACCCATTCATGGGCGATGACGATGACGACGACGTAGCTGTAGATGTGCCAACAGGTTCGTCTGCAGCCGAGCGCTCAGCCTTTTCAAGGAATGACTTTGCTTCGTCCGTTGGGTACAATTTTATGGATTTCCGAGCAAATCGAGTAGCTGCTGCATAGTTTCCAGAACCGTAGTGATTCTTTGCAATCGATAAACAACGCAATGCTTCGTCCTTGTTGATCTCCATAGTCATGCGTGGGTCGTCGATAATAGGAGAGGTGGGGTAGGTGGGGGTACCTTGTGTGGGAGGAAGGGCGGAAAGAAAAGAGGGTCTGTGGGGGAAAAGGATGAATGTGTGTGTTGTTGAAAGTGTACTGGTTCCATCTTGTATCATTTAAGATCCCGCGAGAGCTTGTTCCTTTGTTACTATCGGCATTGCTGTCCACCCATCCATCGTATCTCAATGTCAACATTGTCTATTACGTTTATATGAATGAGTAAGGGTTCACATGATACAGCAGCAATTCTTATCGGCACATGCAAGAAAGTGATGCAAAGGTATCATATACTTGGAGGTTGCAGTCATTGAATTCGATCATAGCTATAGAAAAACAAGCAGCCATAGTATTGCCAAAGTGATTGATGGATAAAATGCACTCATCGGCAGGGAGGATCATCAGCTAATCAACAAAGCATCACATGATCGGGAAACTTCTTTGATTAAATAGACTATTGATCAACAGCTTCTAGCATGTAATAAACGCCCTGTTACGATCATGTTTTATTGGGACCATAATACAGCATAATGCTCCAAAGGGTAATAAACATAGAAAAGGTGGGCTGATGTTTGGAGGAAATCACTTGATACACCTCTTCCCCCGCTCTTCTTTGACTACGATACAAGCGAATGGCTGTTCATCGATCCCTTCACCTATCGCGATCCCTGCTTCTGTCAACGAGATCAACTCTTCCTCAACCACACCTTGTACGCACCTTATCGACGACTTCTGTGAAATATGCCGGTAACACATGTAACAACCAACGCGCATGCAGCATCAGCTGTTGACATTCCCATTGCAGCAACACAGTCCAAAAAGCTGTACGATACCCATATTCCTGTGCCTACACGACAAAAGATAATGCTGGCAGTAGGGTCAGCCTTTGCAGCACTCGCTAATCCATTGAGAGGTGGTATGTGCTATATCTTTATAGACATCAGCCATCATGCATTTATGCTCATTCACCACGTATAGACATGGTTGCCACGTTGGGAGAGACGACGGCTGGAAACACATTGGAGAATATGAGGAAACAGATGCTTTTATCCGAGAGTGGAAGGCGTATCTTGCGTGAAAGGCCATTGATTCATACGGGCTGTATCGATTTCCCCAAATTGCGAGAGACATGCAAGCCTGGTACATTTGGATACCATTACATCCATTGGCTAGATCAAGAAGGTGTCACCCCAGATACTCGAGAACCGGTAAGTGGGATGGATGGATGGAAGAAGAATAAGGACGAGGAGAACCAAGCCTGATTGTTTATGCTGCTGCAGGTCCACTTTGTTGATAATGAAGAATTGGCGTATGTGATGCAGCGTTACCGTCAAGTGCATGATTTTTTCCACGTCATAACAGGATTGGGTGTCAGCGTTGAAGAAGAACTCGCACTTAAATGGTTTGAATGGGCACAAACAAGCCTTCCCATGACACAATTGTCATCCATGGTGGGCCCCGTACTCTTACCTTGGGATGCACGAAGACGTATGTTGGTGGATTATATCCCGTGGGCGCTGCAATGCGGAGCGTAAGTATATACACACATACATGCATACACCAACATCCACATTGGTCGCTAAAGCTGTTTATCTTTTTAGCAATGCTGTGCCAATGATGACCGTTTACTTTGAAGACCATTTTCACACTCCATTGGATGAATTACGTCGACAACTCAATGTAGTACCTGCCCCTGTTCCAGATCATCATAGAACCATGCCATAGAAGAAAAGCTTAATGTATAAAATTCATCATCGTCATCATCATCATGTAATGAGACTTGCTGTGCTTCCTGCCATTGTTAATTGTATACTTTAAAGTGTCATCATGCGTATTAGAGTAGTAATGCAAGCAGCAATGATGATTCAGCACATTGATCCAAAGGTATTCTTGGCACATGACGTGAAACCTCGGCTTGAATAAAACATGGTGCATTCAGCAAAGGCTATTCAAAGAACAACGGTGTGATTAGCGGTTGTAAAATGCCAAAGATGAGATGTTACAACCCATATGAAGGTCCAAATAGCCAGTTGAGCAAATAGGACCTATTCAAGGATGCCTGTGAAGGCTCGTTTCAGAAAGCAAAAGTTCAAAGTTGTTGGCACATTGTGCACCCTACCCCTATAGTGATGATGTGTGGCTCCTCATCACTTAGAATATTTAGCCATGTATCTTTCTTCGCTTTTTCATGTTTAAGGCACATCTCGTGCATATGATTTAACGTTTTAATTGCTTTCAGCAACAACAACAACAACAACAAACAAGCGTATTCTGTTAAACGTCGATGGCGTATTGGATATGTATGCAGCCATGTTCCTTGCTCAAGGGATGATTTACATACTGCATCTATGTTTACGATACGTATATAAAGCTGTAGAATGATAGGTATTACTTTTGGCACCTTTCTTCCTCAGCCTCCTTTCAACTATGAATAACCTTATTACTCTACTACTAGTGTTCCCCTCCTTAATGCTTGTAACAGCGATGCCAGTCGCTAGTGATCCAAATTACAAGGAGCTTTTGGGGGACATTTATAGCAAACCCATGCCCTGTGTTGGATGTCCCGGAGTATGGTCGATACCAGATATCTACAACACGTTGAACAATGAGAATTGGAATATCACCTATGGGCCTACTCAACCACAGCAGGTTCATTTTTCTTTTGCTTCCGATACAGCCTATGCACGTTTCCAATTCTCGACGTTAGCCTCCTCGCCTCAATCATACCTAAAGTATTGGCCTGCCGAGCGACAAGATGAACCAATTACCGTGAATACAGAGGTTGGGATAATAATGCAATTGGACGTTGTGCGTAGTAGTTCTTATACTGGGTATTTAGGATTGGACGTTTGTGGATGGAGGTGCTCAGCGTCGTCCTCTTTACATGCATCAAGCGACTACAAAGCGCCTCGAATCAGGTTGCAAGTATCAATACCAAGTTGGCTCACAGTCACCAAAGACGGGTTCAGTGGAATGGTCCTCTACTTTCGACTTCCATACTGCATCAAGTAGTCAAGAGTTTGAATTTTTGATCACAGGCGACTTGGTATGCTGCATCAAAAGGAGTTGAAAAGAAACGCCAATAATAATAGCATAGCATTACAGGGAGTTACAAAAGCCGTTGCTCTGCCTCATTTGATCACAGCTGCCCAATCGCACAACTATGACTTTATAGTCAATGTGGGCGACCAAGGATATGACTTGGCAGATTTTGAAGGGATCAAAGGCGACCAATACATGAACATGATGCAAGCTGTCTATGGACACTTGTCATACCAAGGTGTGCAAGGCAATCATGAAGTTACCTATGACGGCTCGCATTATAAGAATCGATTCAAAATGGTGCCTTATGAAGAATCAGGTTACAAGGATCCATTAGTGTACTCGTACAATCACAAATCGATCCACTTTGTGTTCTTCAGCACGGAGTTGTACATCTCTGATGTTTATTCAGACCATGAAAAAGAGTTACAAGAAGCATTGGCATGGCTTGAGATTGATTTGGGCTCAGTGGATCGCAACAAGTATCCTTGGATCATTTTTGTCACACACCATCCCATCTATTGTACAGCAGAATCGAAATCATGCAGCAAGGATGGAGAAATGATCCGTAATGGCAAAACAGGCAAGGATGGAAAGCGTTGGGGTGCATTGGAACCTATACTTCAAAAGCACAAGGTCGATTTGTATCTAAGGTAGGTAGTAGTATCATTCAAGTCATATCATGGGATTACTCATTTTTTATAACTAGTGGTCACGTTCATGCCTACGAACGCACTTGGCCGGTTGCTGACAATCGAGCCACATCGATGGATTATGAAAACCCTTCAAGTCTGGTAGCTCTCATTGTTGGCAATGCAGGCGAAGCTGAAGGAAATGCCGGATACAATGCAGCAGCATCCGCAGAAGAGTTGCCTGATTGGAAGGCTTTCCATTATGACGGCTATGGTTTCTCTACCGTTAAAGCAACCCCTTCCTCTTTAGAGTTTACACACAAGGAAGCTAAACTAGATGGCTCACTCGGGCGCATCATTGATCAATTTACCATCCACAAAGAACAAGACGACAATGAAAATTGACACGTTTAATGATTACATCTACCATAAAAAGACATCCTTCAACCTTCGCTTGTCATAATCAATAGACACAAAGTGTTTCTTTTTCTTGTTAAACAATGACCTCATTCACAAAGAATGGTGGTCTATATCGCCTGCAACAGATGACTAATGATCCAGGAGCAACAACAAGTTGTCGACTTGATAATGCATCCTCATCATAATACATTTTTGTGCATAGGTTTGATCCATCTACTACGTAGCTGACACACTCACTCTCTTCTCTTATTATTTACCACTCACGCCATCTCTGTAATGAATAAACTTTATTTGAGAAGCATCCTCATTAGAAAATAGCATAGGGGTTAAATGTGATGCTACCATGAAGGAAACAGGCCCTTGCTAATCATGCGGATGGGCGTTGTCGGCATGTCAAAATTTCATATCTACAGCCGAGAAACCTCGTTACTTTCTTTCTTACGCGCATGTCATTTGCCACGGCTCTCCAGGACGCAGAAAAGGCTGTACAAGGGGTGCTTTCCTTCTTTACCAATGTGAATACCATATGCGACATTCTACAAAGTAATGCGTTGTGCATGGTGCTCTGTGCCTTCTTCATTTGTCCTTTGACGCGTTCTTCTATTTTTAAGGCGGTTCCGATAAGCGACCTGTTCATAGCAACAATTACCTTGACTACGCTACCATACGCGATTCCATTCTTTCCAAAGGTGTCGCCAATGTGGATCGGCTTCAGTCGGCCGTCAATCGAGTGAACGTCGCCACTTTTACAACTGCCGTGTGGTTGGACAACGTGCAATACGATGAAGCGATATCCATTTTCTTTCCACTCCTTATTCCCAAGCAACTTCATACTCGAGATGATGTCATTGATTTGTTCTTAACTACTGTGACAAGATGGGCAATTGCCGAGACACGCTGGCCGACCGGCATCCATACGACCGATGATGTTATCAGCAAAGTCAAACAAAGGATCGATGAGGAGCTCAAGCGCAAAGGCCCGTTGTTGAGCCAAAGGATATGGAATGCTTTTAAAGCAAGGTTTGAGCAAGTACGTTACTATGACAGAGATTGAATGCAATGTTTCTAATATTGCTTGTTAGCTCGATTCGACACCATTATGGAATTTGCAAAATATGGTCAACGGCAACAGGATGAAGGAGACATGGTTCAAAGCATTACCTATGGTATTGGAAGCCATTGACAGGAAGGTGTGTAGATCTCTTTGTGGGACATGGCGTCATATGGCAAGTGTTATTCATGTGTCCCCTTTCTCAGGATGGATACGGCCACACATTACGACACTGCCCGACACAAGATCATCGTTGTGAGACACAAGCTGGGATGAAACGTTCACACAATCAACAAGCAGATCCAGTTGACAAACGCCATCGACGTCAGCCCATTGTTGTATCAGCAATATCGGACGAGGAGGATGTGGAAAGCCAAGACGAAGATACAAGGGATAATAGCAGCAATGAAGACGAGTATTACGATGCTTTGGATACATGGGACGAAGAAAATGGATCCAATATCGACAATCTGAACATGAAGGGAACATCATTATCCAGCCACGGGGTGAATGGGCTTCCACCACCACCGCCACCATATCATTTACAAGAACGACACGATACGAGTTACAACACGATTGTAAGGATCCCTCCCTTTTTTGGGGATTCAGCACCGAATAACAACAACCATCACGACGGCCAGATCCCGCATCTCAATTCAGAGTATGGTGGTCAACATATGAATGGTAGGATTGAGAATGATGATCCGACAAGAAGGTATGTACGTCTTCGATTTATTGTGTATGCATGTCTTTAACTCTTATTTATAGCGAACTACCATATGTAACAGAGTAGGTGTTTCTTTCATTGAAGATTTGGCCATTATTGACATTGGCTTATAGTACAATCGATTTGAGATATCCATCATCTACTATGCTACCTTTTGATAGCAATCATCCCACGCCACTAAGCGATGATCCCCAACTACTAGCTAGCATCAGCAACACGTGGCAACAAAATGATCAAGCCAACAATCAATCAAGCGTCACTGCAGCTCCTGAAACTCCACGCAGTCGTAAAAATGGAAAGCGATCGTATCGCCCTTGGACAAAGGAGGAGATTACGACCCTTGAAGAAGGTCTCAGGTTGTATGGCAAGAATTGGGCAAAGATCAAGGAGAATGATATATTCCACAGCAGAACAAAAGAACAAGTGTCTGCTATAGCGCGCAGTATTGCAGCAAGACGAAGAAGGCAAAATGTACCACTGGGAGCCTTTGCATGCATGTAAAATCACTAGCTCGAATACATTACCCTTGCGTAAATTTGCTCTTTTATATAAACAACATGAATGAATAGGCTACATGGAGTCTTTGAATATGTGTAGTAAAAGTAATAATACATAGGATATTGCTTCAGGACGGGGGGTGATTCTAATTCTATCATCAAGTGTATCGAATTGGCGTAGTTTGGAGAAAACATTGATAATGAACATGATAAGATTAGAGTAATCATCCATCCATCTTAAGTAAGGGATTGCTAATCATCGGCAGGCAGTCGTATGAAAATAGGTTCCTTGGTAACCTAATAATTTCATTACAGCTGAGCACATGCCGGAGCCAGTGGTTTGTTTTTTATCCTGCAACCATGCTTCGTTCACGTCTCGTACAGCACACAGCTATTACCCGATTGCCATGGCGACGCATGTATGCAACAGCGTCTTCGTCACAAAACACACCTATATTCCAAGTCTTCAATCGCGATGCCAAACGTCGTCAAAAGGATCGTGCTGCCATGGATGTCGAAAGCAGTCGCACAGTCGATTACCTTAGAGACGAGGTTGCCGCTCGTGTTGCCGATCGCTTGGCGGTAAGTAAGAGAGAGACCATGGCTATATGAATGACCCTACTGATACCATTCTCCAGGATATCAAACGCGATTTTCATACAGTGGTGGACCTTGGTTCGGGTTGTGGACACATTGTAAAGCACCTTAGCAAGGACAATATGAAGAAATTGATCATGTGTGATATGTCAGGTATAGAGTTGTTTTGGTATTAGAGCATCAAGCAATCATCATACTTACATAGTGGATATAGAGCAAGCCTTGAAGAGAGACATGGATCAATATTATCCAGGTATGGTAAAAGTACTTTGATGAAGGTCATCCACCCTTTTGACGTGACGTTGTATTCCATAGTCGAAGTTGAACGCAAGGTTGTGGATGAGGAATATTTACCTTTCAAGGAGGATTCATTGGAAGCAGTGGTTAGCAGCATGTCGATGCATTGGGTGAATGATTTACCAGGTATGGAAAGGATAACCAAAATTGCATGGAACAAAGAGGGCTGAATGAGATGATCCTATCTAGGCGCTCTTATTCAAGTACGCAAGGCATTGGAACCGGATGGTGTGTTTGTTGGTGCTATTCTTGGTGGTGACACTCTTTTTGAATTAAGGTATTGTGCTGTAACCTAGCATTTGATGTATACATGCTAAATGCTGGGTGTAGAACATCGCTTCAACTTGCTGAAACGGAACGAGAAAGCGGTGTCTCGCCACATGTATCGCCAATGACAGGTACTCAACAACAACAACCTTCATCACCATGTGCTGGATCGGCTCATTACGAGAAACAATAGATTCTAGTGATATCGCTCGCCTACTCAGTCGCGCTGGCTTTGTGCTCACGACGGTGGATGTGGATGAAATCCAAGTCAGCTATCCTTCCATGTTTGAATTGATGGAGGATTTGAAAGCCATGGGTGAAAACAACGCTGTATTATCTCGGTAAGCATGTAGCCGTTAACGGTGTCTTTTTTATTCATGCATGGTACTTTCTAATAGACGACCTATGCTCCACCGGGATACTCTTATGGCTGCTGCTGCCATTTACAAAGGTAATTTCTTTGAAAAGACAATGAAAGAGACTTTGATTGCTAATCATGGGCTTATTATAGAGCTTCATGGTAATCCTGATGGTACAATTCCAGCTACATTTGAGATTATCTACATGGTAAGATACTATACGAAATGATATGGGAAGGTTTGCTAACGAACACAACATTGTAGATTGGATGGAAACCATCAGCAACCACACCTCAGCCAAAGAAACGAGGATCTGCAACTACATCCATGAAAGATGTATTAGAAAACTAGACTTGGATTATTGTAAATAAACACACACTCTCTCACTCATTCACATTTTTCTTGGTATCATGGCAACCATGGATTTTTGCATTTCAGTGTAACCTTAGCACCAATCAAACCATTGGTCAAAGTGACGTTGTTCTCCGTGACAAGCGAAAGCAAAACTTGTGCACCGAGATTTTTGACAGTTGTATTCCCTCTCTCTATTTCAACAAAAAAAATCGCTTGTGCGATATACTCTACTACAACAACCCCCCAAACAACAGACACACAACAACATAATGGGTTTTGACGGCAATCGTGGTCGAGGTGCTCCCCGTGGCGGCAGAGGTGGTGGCCGTGGTGGAGGCCGTGGTGGATTCGGCGGTGGTCCTCGTGGTGGTGGTCGAGGTGGATTCGGTGGCCGTGGAGGTAATTAGACAGCTCTTGTTTATGGATCGTAGCCATAATCGAGTCATTGCGTCTTTGATCAACTCACGTTTATGATTGTATAGGTCGTGGTGGTGGTGTTGGCAAGCCTGGTGGCCGTGGTGGCCGTGGTGGTGCTCGTGGCGGTGCTCGTGGTGGCCGTGGTGGTGCCAAGGGTGGTGCCAAGGGTGGTAACAAGGTTATCATTGAACCCCATCGTCACGAAGGTATCTTTGTTGCCCGTGGTAAGGAAGATTTGCTTGTTACCAAGAACCTTGTCCCTGGCGAATCCGTTTATGGTGAAAAGCGTGTTTCCATTGATGGCCCCGAAGGCACCAAGATTGAATATCGTGTGTGGAATCCTTTCAGATCCAAGTTAGCTGCTGCTGTTCTCGGTGGTGTTGATCACATTCACATTGCTCCTGGCAAAAAGGTCTTATATCTTGGTGGTGCTTCTGGTACTTCCGTCTCTCACGTTGCCGATGTCGTTGGTCCCGAAGGTGCTGTCTATGCTGTCGAATTCTCTCACCGTTCCGGTCGTGATTTGATCAACATGGCAAAGAAGCGTACCAACGTTGTTCCTATTGTTGAAGATGCTCGTCATCCCCACAAGTACCGCATGCTCGTTCCCATGGTCGATGTCATCTTTGCTGATGTTGCTCAACCCGATCAAGCTCGTATTATTGCTCTTAATGCACACCACTTTTTGAAGAACAATGGCCATATCGTCATCTCCATCAAGGCCTCTTGTATCGATTCAACTGTTGATGCTGCCACCGTGTTTGCTCGTGAAGTCAAGAAATTGCAAGAAGAACGCATCAAGCCACAAGAACAGCTTACCCTTGAACCTTATGAAAGAGATCACGCTGTTGTGGTTGGCAAGTATGTTCGCAGCAAGTAAAAGGAAAACTTTATAGTTCTCTACCTTTATCATCATCCCTCGTGCCCTTCACAAAACACCACATGCTTTATTATGTCATTGCTATCTACTCTCTAGACCGGCTGTAAATAACATTTTGCATCTGAATAACACAAAAAAAAGAAGTATTCTCTCATGATTTACAGAGGTCATTCCTCATCAACATCTTTATGATTGGTTACTATTACATGCATGATGATTTTGTGATATGATGTGTAGCAGTAAAAGTGGATCATGTTATGCAGCATGGATAAGCTCAGCAAGGAGCTCGGACCTTTCAGCTGTATTCCGACATCAGAGCAAAGGTCAATGCGTCCCATTGATTGGCCCATTCACCGTGTGGAAAATTTTGGATTTTGTAGTTTGACAACCTTGAGCTGGAAAGAGTACAGGATGATATACGCAATACAACACTTATTCAAGTCGTGGGATGGGATTGCGAGGTATAGCTGCTATGTTGATGTATTTGCATTGTCTCATACCCACACCTGGGATTCTTCTTCGAACGGGTCCAATCGATACAGAATCAGGCCGAAGGACATTGATATTAGGGAAGAAGTCTTTGGGGTAATGTGCAATACGTGAATTCATATATGACCAAGTACCATGGTGAGGATGGTCTTGATGTTCGTTAAGAAATGCAGCGAAACGCTGTTGGAATGGGACAGCGTCATCAAAATACATTTGTGTCTCTGGTGGCGCCAGGTTGACTAGCCCACCGTTAGGGAATTCGGTATCGAGGAAGTCCTCCAATAGAGCCAATGCATCACCAGGAAATATGCCTCGCTGTCGTGTCCACGAATAATCACGTGTACCCATCGTCCAGACGCACTCGTATATGGTTATATCCTTGGTTACTATCCAATCTTAGTTTCCTTGTTCTTCTTCAGAATAAAACAACCCACACTGAGTACCACTTACTGTAACCTTGTCTCCATACACGACACCACAACAACAAGGAAAATGGAAGTGCTAGGATAACAATGGCATGAAACCTTAACGATCATCACAATATTAGCACATGGATCGCTCACAAAAGGGACTCTCAACCATGATAATCACCAATGGATTTTGAAGGCGTCAGCAATCAAAGAGTGATAAAATGATGGAAAGGAATAGGTATGTGGGAGAAAAGCGATGGGCGACAACACTCCTCTTGTTTATATCTGCACGGCGGGCGTGGGTATTTCTGTGACCACAAAGAATGATAAAATGTCTTTTGAGAATGATGAGGAGCTGATAGATTGATGAAGAGCCATTATAGAGAGCCTTGATCTGATTGAAAGTGCATCCATCAGCCATGGTCTGGGATAGACAAGGTGGCAATTGCCATCACCAAATCATTTGCTGTACTCACATTCCATGATGTAAATGATCCAATCTTGCTTCCACCTTCATATTCCCATTCCCCCTTTCACTCCAGAAACCAATCAAGTGATCCACATCTTGCATACGTGAGCTGATAGTACGATACTCTTAATAGTATGTTGAATCTCAATTTTCATTCAATGACAAAGTCGAATAATAGTACATGGTAGTGGGGATGTTTATGACGTAAATAGGATAAAGGAAGAGCTGCAAGTTGAATAAGATACGGATGAGCCATACAGAGGTAGCAGGGATAATTGCGTCATTGGTATTCTTGGTTGCTGCCGTCATAAGCATCTTCATCCATGGCTGCAAACTAGTTGCTGTACGCTCTTGACTCCAACATTCCAATTTCATCCATGACGGCAAACCGTCTCTCGTTGAAGATACAAGCCCTCTTATCCATACCATCCAATCCATCATCATCCTCCAGTTGTATCCACGTGACATGATCCATCTTTCCCTGCTGACGACGTGCCAAGTAACCAAAACACCATTTCAGGATCACCTGTCGCTATGCTTGATTACATCCATCCATCCATAACCATGGTAAGTCCAACATGTTGATAAAAAGAACTCCCGTGATCGCTGCTGATATGCTTCCTTTTCTATTTGGCTGTTGATCTATCGCAGCTCAACCAGGCGAAGATTGCTTCTTGTATTGCTGGGTACTTGATTGCTGATATGGCATCATCCATAGGGATTCGTATGTATTGAAGCAAGTTGATAAACGTAAATAAAGCTGCTTCGATACAATGGCTATCTGCCGTTCACGTAAAAAAGGGCTCTAAGGCAGGTAGCTGCAAGTAACTTGAGACAATGGAATAGCAACTGGTGTTACGTTTGATGGTAGCAGAGGAACGTGCAAGAGCGTGTGTTGTAGTAGAATGACAAGGTTGTGAACGCTTCTTGAGACAATGCAGCGAATGGCAACTGCTGGAATGAATGCTGTTACGTTTGATCGTGGCAGAGAAGCGTACACGAGCGTGTGTTGTGTCAAGAGAATCGTATGTCGTAGAAGAGTGACAAGAAGGTTGTGTACACGCCACGAACTCGCCATTCAACCAAAGACAATCGGATCAAGACAATGGTAGGATTGACATGGTGGTTGAAGGAGGACAATCGTTCGCAGGTGGTATTGCATACTTGAATGGGGCAACAGTTGAGAATGGGAGGAAGAGGCAAGGGTTGAGTGTGGAAGAAGTGGAAATTAAATAGGGCGGACACCTCTTGTATAAATGCATGATCACTGTACATTCAAACTTTGATATTGAGATTGCCCCTCTCGAACCTGAAACTTTCACACAAGATGCTCGGGGACATGCTGATCAACTTTGTATTATAAAAGAACGTATACTTCATTATAAGAAATTGAATGGGAGGGTACAATATGGGGTTTACTATGGAGGTCCGAAATGCAGATCAGCGCCAGATTCATGATTTATGGAAACAGTATGTATTATCTTGGGGTTCCCCATTTTGAGCTTGTAACTTTGTCAGAAGGTTCGCTGGGACACGCTGATCAACTTCATTCATTTAAAAGTCGCAGACTTCATTGTGAAGATTTAAAATACGGGGAGGTCCAAATGGTGGACGATGGGAACAAAAGAGCGGACGGCCCACAGCCCCGAAGTTGCCCACTTCAAAACTCGAAAATTGGTCACAAGGGTGCTCTCGCATGCTGATCAACTTTTTTCTAATAAAGACCTCATGTTTCATTTGAAAATTTGGAATGGGAGCTTCCAAAAGTTTGAAAGACGGAGACATTCGCAGGGTCTGCGATTCATTTATTTTCACGTTTGCTGTTCCAGCGTAGCTCAGTCAAATCGGCTCGGATCAAGAAACTTGAATGATGGGAATGCTCGGCTGGAGCACGGGAATCGTTCACATGCAGTGGATTTTGCAACAACGCTGATTGTGAGGAAATGGCTGATAGCGCGCAATATGGACTATTATGGATAGACCATAAAGTATAATCCATCAATCCTTCCAGTCATGCAAGATAGCTGTGTTACACAAACACGTCCCTCTCCATCTTTTGCTCTGCCAGGGTCCACCTACTTGACAATGAACAAAGACCACTCTTCATATAGCATCACGCTTACAAACATAAAGCTGCCTGTATCTCCAAACTTTACAATGAAACGTGGGGTTTTGAATAGAGCAATGTGCTCGGCTTGGCCAACAGCACCTTGTGTGAAAGTTTCGTGTTCAATGTCGCAAACAGCCCAAAAAATATTTTTTGGTCGTCGTCGTCGAAGAGGTCGACCTCCAGATCCAGTTTGGCTGGTAGCGACATTGCGAAATCTGGGATTGGCAAGCTTGATCGTGAAACTTTCACACAAGGTGCTGTTGGCCAAGCCGAGCCCATTGTTCTAATAAAAACCTCAAGTTTCATTGTAAAGTTTGGAGATACAGGCACCTTTATGTTTGTAAGCGTGATGCTATATGAAGAGTGGTCTTTGTTTAGTGTATAAGTAGTATGGCTATAATAGAGCAAAAGATGCAGAAGGACCTCTTTGGGTATCTCAGCTAAAAAATCAGGACTTCAGGGACAATGCATGATAGGTACGCAACCCTCACTTTTATGTCATACATTGGCAGCTAATAGCCACTTTTGTGCATTCCCAACTTTCGTGCATTCTATTGTAGGTGGACGATGCTCCCGCTCTAGACATTCATTTCCATGATTAAAGTAGGTTGATCCGAGCTGATTTGGTTGAGTTACGCTCATACAAGATTACATCGGTTGAGCTACATCGAGCGTGCTTTATGTCCAGAGTGATGTAATCTCTCTTTGACCACAGCTCAGTCAAATCAGCTCGGATCAACCTACTTTAATCATGGAAATGAATGTCTGGAGCAGGGGCATTTTCCCCATGCAGTGGATCTCGCAACAATGATTATTGGATAAAAGTGGCCGTTAGCTAGCAATACATGCCTGTTCCTAGATGATCCATAAAGTAATTATACATTGACCCTTTCATTCATGCAAACGTAGCTGTGTTACACAATACGACCCTCTGCATCTTTTGCTCTGTCAGGGTCTAGCTACTTTACATTAAACAAAGACCACTTTTCATATAGCATCACGCTTACAAACATAAAGGTGCCTGTATCTCCAAACTTTACAATGAAACGTGGGGTTTTGAATAGAGCAATGTGCTCGGCTTGGCCAACAGCACCTTGTGTGAAAGTTTCGTGTTCAATGTCGCGACTAGCCCTCCAAAATATTTTTTGGTCGTCGTCGTCGAAGAGGTCGACCTCCAGATCCAGTTTGGCTGGTGTCGACATTGCGAAATCTGGGATTGGCAAGCTTGATCGTGAAACTGGCACCCAAGGTGGAGTTGGCCAAGCCGAGCACATTGCTCTAATAAAAACCCCACGTTTCATTGTAAAGTTCGGAGATACAGGCAACTTTATTTTTGTAAGCGTGATGCTATATGAGAAGTGGTCTTTGTTTAATGTAAAGTAGTATGACTATAATAGAGCAAAAGATGCAGATGGCATGTTTGTGTAACTTGAGTCATTCAGCACAGGCGATGCATGATTCTTGTACACTATTTAGGAATAGTTCAAAATGCCAGCTAATAACCTTAGTCCTCCCATTCTCCATTGTTGTCCAACCCAATGCATACGAACGATTGTCCTGCTCCAGCCCAGCATGCCCATCATTCAACTTTCTTGATCCGATGAGATTTGACTGAAAAATAGTCAAACACAGAACATCATCCAATATCAGAAGAATCAAATTGGTAAGTTATTTGTAAACTGCCAGCTAATAGCCCATTCCTCCCATTCTCCATTGTTGCCCAACCCAATGCATGTGAACGATTCTCGTGCTCTAGCCCAGCATGCCCAGCATTGAACTTTCTTGGTTCGAGTTGACCTGATAGTATGGCAATGGCTGTTGTTGGATCATCATCGTTATCATGTAAAGTGTAAAATGGCACACACTCTTTTGCTATACGTGAAGATCGTTCTTTTATTTGCGTGTACTTATTGTTTATCGTGAGGGTGATGATAATGATGGGTGGATGGTGTGTGTGGGGTCATTGAGGGTGGCCTCAGTGTAATAGCAGTAGGGGGATTTAAACTTGAGGGACAGCAGCTCCACGACTTGAGACAACGCTTCTCTTCTTTTTCTCCCACCTTTCCTGATTCCATTCACGACATCTCGATCAAGGTAATGTACTATAAAAAAGTACTCTTGTTGGCTGTGAGGTGTTAATGTAGCTCTGAACATGCATTGTCAGGGAGTGAGTGTGTCCAAATGCTGAGGAATGAGCGTGGTAGCCATGGCGATATCGTTGCTTCCTTTTGCTCGTTGCTATTCCCGCTCTACGCTTGGTGTCAACAGGTACATCCAGAGTCCAATGTTGCAGCCGACTTGGTTCCATTGACGCGTCAGCTTGTATAGAGGGCAAGTTTGGTTTCAAGACGTTGGCTGGTTTGGCGTTTTGTTTCGGCTCAACTATACTACTACACCATGGTTTTCGGTTTCCAGTAACCAACAACAACGAGTCTTTGTGTATATGGAAAAGGCAAGTATAATGAAACAAACAATGAAAAGGGTGTTTATTGCGTGTGTGCTAATAATGAATTGAATAGATTTCTTTGGTCAGGCAATGCAACTTGGGGCATCATCATCATCTCTTTGGGTTCAAGTCCCAGCCTGTATCAAGTGGCCGCTGCGTCGCTCTGCACTAGCCAAGTGTGCTGGAAAAGCTTCTTGGAACGCGTCCAGGGCTCTATGCCTGCGTTGAGTTGAGGATGGGTCGATGATGATGGATTTTTGGAAGAGCATGGTCACCGTGTCGAGGTAAAAGGGGATTTGCAATGGCTCGGCCGTGAATGTGTTGAACCAACACGCTCTTCTCGTGATAGGCTCGTTCTTTCCCTTGAGGATTTCTTTTCATGAGGTGGGAAATGATTGGAAGGATTGGGGATCATTCTTTCTTTGGAGAGGATGAATGAGAACAACTATGAGCCTGGACTCTACGTGAGTGATGTCCTTCCTTGCCATGGATCGAACTGGCCTTGCGTGATTCGTGCAGTGCTTTCTCAAGAACAAGGGATCGCCCGACGTTGCTCGTATGGTGGTGATTTGGTTTGTGAATTCCTTCTGATTTGCTTTCTTCCTTTGAGAGGATCGCCTAACGGTATACCAAATCGTCATCATTCCGGTACCAGATGGTCTAACTTGCCTCCTTTCCTATTTGTAGAGACGACGATTACGATGATTACCACATTCACAACAATGACGATTACGATGATCACCCCGTCTACAACAATACAATGATGACGACAACGAGATTCAAAGGAAGCCTGCAAGATCCCATTCTTTTCAACTTGTGTATTTTTGGATGTTGGTGTGACGGATGAGATTGACGACTGGTGACGAGTACGAGTAGGAATGATGACGGAGGACGACTACGACGATGGTGGTTGCAATGTACAGTAGCAAGATAGCTAGATGAAATAAAGCATTGTTTATTTATTACACGCTTGTTGGAGGTTGCTAGCTTGTGGATTACATACTATTGCTTCGAAGATGGAATAATAAAGGTGGTCCGGTTATCGGTCATGCAAGAAGTACATGGCTTTTGTGATACAATAAGGAGGAGTGGGAAGTGGGATGAGCTTGAGAAGAGAAAGAGTGAAGAGGTCCCTCCATTGAGTTTCAGAATGAGTGACCCATCCAATATGTGTATACGTATCTTTTTTACATATACCAATTGGTTTATGCAGCTCGACCTTCTCCTACATGCAAATGTGATATACACATACCTTGACAACCCTTCATTATCGGATGCTGTTTACTTACGTACCTTCACAAAAGGCAATCATCATCATCATCCATTTGTGCAGCAATCTGTCCAGGACGTGTTCGTGTAGCCACCACGTGCCATTTAAGTCAGCTCTTCATCTTTCCGTTTATGCAGGCGACAGCATCCATTAGGAGGAAGTAACTCCATCACGCTTACGGCATATGTAAAATATAAAGGTGCCTGTGTCTCTAAATTTTACAATCAACACAGGGGTCTTTGATATGTTAGTGATGCTCATGAATGCGTAATAAGTATATAAATGATAAGGTGGCAAATTAGCTTCCATGGAAACCCATGTACTGACAAGGATGGCCACGCGAAGGCTTTGCCGTCACCCTCTCCCCTACGGTGCACCAAGCCGGATAACGGGGGCTGCCATTGTAAACAACAGCATCTTCTATAGGTGCTGCTCGAGCCAACATGTTCGGTCTGATAAAAGGACAAAATAGCATCCCACGCCCACAGAGGCCGACCCATAAGAGCGAAAAGCAATGCATGATCCCATATCTACCACAAGGCCACTGAGTAACAGTCTAACTTCCAACGGCTAAGGCAGTAATCCTCAAATGCAATTGATAGGGCCATGATAGGGCTGACCACACTGTCGCAAATGAATCATAGCTGCCAACGATGCTTTACACCAAAGGGTAAGGCACCATCCCGTTCTACCCATAGCAAATAAACATCCGCCATATCAGTAGTAGCTGCCATCAAGCGACCTTCTTGGGTAGGCGTCATGAGAGACACATCATGCACTGCAACAAATAAATCCGGTCTTGATGAAATAGCACATACGAGAATATTCACTTGTAAGAGAACGTCCAAGGTATCCATACAAGTACTTGAGGAATGAGATCCGCCATGGCACCGATAAAAATATTGCTCTGAAGATCCGCCGATAAAGAGACGACTTGCAGGTAGCTGATTTCCAAAACCATGGAAACGGTATCCTTGACAACAACAACTATAAGATAGAGATCGCTTGCTTGCTTCTGAGACACCCACCCAAATTCAAATGTTGATCTTCGTCTTCCAATTCTTCAATAGGATTCGCCATTGACAGCTGTAAGAAGAGACTTTGATGGCACCAAAGAGCATGCGAAATTATAGCTTGATGGAATGATGGGCCTATAAAACTGCATATCACTACTTTATCTTTGAGGTAATGGTAGCAATGCTTAGCCAGTGTCATATGAGAATCCACGATGTTTGATGCCACCCAGTAATCAGAACGCATTTCCTTGCTGTAGAGATGTCGACACAGTGACCAATTCTGATAGCCGTTTCTCCAAGCGATACTTGATGATGAATGCCATGAGAGATGGATACACCTTGACAGCACCAAAAGGACACGTAACATTGTTGTTTGTTGCTGATGTGATACATCCATAAGATACGTGCGGTGAAGAAGGCTCTTGAAATCAATTTGCCAATAACGAGAACCACCAGAGGATCAAGCAAATGTTGTTGACACTAAAGATGTGGGCTCTGTTGCTCATTGCTGCTTCTTGCTTGTAGCTGATATGATCCACCGAGAACAGGCATGCGTAGCAGGATATCCATTGAAAGGGTTGTCAACAACTAGGACCACAATAAGACCAAAGGCCCAAAATACAAGTAGTTTGCTGAATAGCCCACATACTATAATAAAAGAGGGGGTTGGTTGGGATTGGAGCCAAAAAACAGGTGACCCACTATTTACCAATGAAAGCCATATGAATAAACCCCTGTCGACATCCAATGATAGCTGCATCGATCAAGAATCCAAAGGGAACAATACAAGTAGCTCGCTGAATAACCCACATGAAAGAGGGTGTTAGTAGGCATTGAAAGAAAGAATGGATCATTATTTACCAATGACAGCTGCATCCATAGAAATCCCAATGCACCAGAAGACAAGTAGCTTGCTGAATAGTCCGCACACTATAATCAAAGAGGAGGTTGGCAGGCGTTTAAGAAGAGAACGGATCACTATTTACCAATGATAGATAGCCATATGCACGAAAACATGTCGACATCCAATGACAGCTGCATCCATAGCAATCCCAATGCACCAGAAGACATGCAGCTTGCTGAATAGTCCGCACACCATAATAAAAGAGAATGTTGGTAGGCATTGTAGAAAAGAACGGATCATCATTTACCAATGATAGCCATATGCACGCAATCCTGATGATATCCAAATCCAGCCGGATCTTTGCAATCGTCCGCTTGTTGTTAAGGCCCGCTACGGTGGCACTCGGCTTGTAAGCGATGGAACGACACTTGATGGGAATATACAGTGAGAAGGTTGAGTAATACTCGTACCACCAAAGATAGCATACTTACATGATGCCGAAGAGCCCTTACAAAGAGAGACAACGAGACAATCCTTGCTGCCCAAGACCACATGCAAATCGAGAAAGCATTGTGCATCGAAAAGCCCAAACCAGATCCTAGCTGCGGAGTGACGTACATATGGCTAAAGAGCGATGTGAATGGCAATCGTTTTTCATTGGAAATCGAATGCAGCTTGACGATGAATGCCTTGAGGATATGCATGAATGACCTTGGTAACACCAAAGATGTCAACGCGGACTCTCATTGCTTGTTGATGACATGATCCATCCATAAGACGCGTATAGTTGTAGAGATCCATCAAAGGAATTGCCGATAATCAGAACCACCAAATGATCGAAAGCTTGCTGACGCCAAAGATAAAAACCTGCTCCTTGTTGCTGACATGATCAATCGATAAGAGACCTGTGTTTCAGGAGGTTCACCAAATTGCAGGTAATGGAAAGCACCAGATGATGGGATGAAGGTTGATATGGCACCAATGATATGCATGCTGTCACTAGTTGCTGATACAGCCCACTCATCAGAGACGTGCGTTGGCTGCCCCCTTCAGGCAAATCGCCGTTTGCTTGGAAACCAACCATCAGAGACGGAATAAAGATTGACGACACCAAGAGATAAACGCACTTTTCCCGATTGCTGACATGATTCACCTACGTATAAAAGATGCACCATAAACAATTGTCCAAACTCATCCAACAATACTTAGCAATCATAGCTATGATCTTGTAAACTGCAAAGCTCCGAAAGGCAAGCAGCTCTCTGCAATGGTCCCTCTAAATAATGGTAGGCGTTTCAGCTAAAGTCTCCAAAGCAGCATAATCATACATACCTGAACACTGGTGATCAAAAGGAATTGGAACCAAATACACCATCCGAAGGCAATACAATAATCAACCTGCAGCGC